CTATACGTTTTGCAGACGCTAGTTTGAAGCACAAGTATGATATAATTACTGTCATAGGACTACGGTACGCAAGATTACGGTATTTGATTACTGTAGTGAGATCACAGTGCTCTACGTAAAATTACGTAAACATTAAGTTCATTAATGTGTGATTACGTAATCACATATCGCATCCCATCATGCTTCATTGGCTTTACACATAAATGGTATATGAAACCAATGAAGCGCATTACTCCAATCTCCCTCCCTCCCCCCCCCCCCCCCACACCTACTTCCTCCTTCCTCCTCGGCTACTTTCGTCACATCTCTCTTTTCTTACTCCTTTGCTTTCTAAAACTCGACAAGTGTCTTCTGAAATAAAATATAAAGGAGAAATTATAAGTTTCCCTCTCGTCCCTTTCCTTAGACGGAGTTTCAATTTTCAGACCCTCTTCGGGACTCCTCAGTAAGGAAAGAGAGTCTGGATATTTTCGAATAAAAGACTTTAAAGAAAAACTGTAAATCCCATCTCATAAATATGGGTCTTCTGAGTATTCTGAAGATTCTGTAAAATTCCTATAACGAGTTAAATTGCCTCAAACCCTGAAAAAGATCAACTTTTGCTTGATCACCGCTAAATGTTTCATCTAATTGTAAGAAGATACATCAGATATACTGTAGGAGTTAACTAACATGATTTTTTTAAAATTTGTAGTGGATCATCAATTATTTTAACCTACTTTTCCGGTTTAATCATAGCTTGCCATAAGGCTGAGAGATACAGTATGTAAACGGTAAGAATCAATATTTGATTCTAAACCATTTTCTGATCAAATAGTACCAGTGCGATCACAATTATGTGTTCATTTTTCACTATAAAGCACATCCTGGAGATATGGTAGGCGTACGGTGAAGAACCATACTGTAGAGGTATGGTAGTTAGACGATAGGAACTTACTACTTTTTTCTTTGTTTTAGCGGACAACAACGTATAACACAAAGGTTTTCAAGTCCACATATATTTGAAAAACCTCCACGGTTTCTTAACCTGGTTGCGAATGGATAAAAATCATGGAGAGTACATTAAGCTTTGAAATTTGAGCTTGAACAAAAAGAATAAGAAGGTAAATGAAATTGGCAAACTCCGCCCCCATTCGCCCCTAGACTCTCCCCACTTGCTTTGTTATCAGCTAGACTAGCGGGATTACGCAAATTTTCGAGGATGCACACGCACTGAGTTTCGAGAAATAAATTCAGTTTGAAAATGGTCCGAGAACTTTCGAGACAACCTAATATGATCTCAGAGCAAATTCCCACTTTTTGCTTCGCTATCCTATCAAGAAATGCTTTTTCTCTCATTTTTTATCCCTTACCATTTTGAGAGTTGCACCTATCAAAAGATCTGACTCAAATCACTGAATCATACAATAAGTTGATAAACGATTCCACCCTAGCACCTAATATATTTTCACCTGTCCGTCTCTACTACGACAACTTGAGTCATACGTAAGGGAAACCATTTCCTCCCACAATTGTAACCATGGTGAGACCAAACAATTATGAATTGTTTCTCCAGCTGTTTTCATACATATAATTACTCTACCACTGCCTGCTCACCATGATATTTTTCAAAGAACTCGTTGCTACTGTTAGCTGGTCCTTGAGCGAAAGGGAAATGGATCATAACTTTGCCGTGGTTTTCCTTCTTGAGAGTTATCTTTTTTCACTATTTTTTAACAACTTCTATAGGCGTGTTGATCATCCATCTTTATAAAAAATAGTCTCATTTCCCTCACAGATATTTTCTTGATAAAAGAATGAGATTTTCATGAGGAAAATTGTAGCTAAAAAATGTAGCTCTTCTTCCCCCTCCCCCCCCCCACCCTCTCTCTTTCTCCTTCTCTCTCTCTTTCTTTTTTTCTCTCTCTCCCCCTTTCTTACCTGCCTCATATATCTGCAAAATTTTTCTTATTTCCTTTTCCCCGTTGCTTCTAGCCTTGTTCGTGCATGTGATGTTTATTGATAGTTGATATGTGCTTCTGCAATGCCGACAACACTTGCGCGGAAGACATTAAGCGCACACCTGCAATTTTACGTCCTGTGGCCATTTCCACGTGCAAGTGTTGCTAGCAACGCAAAAACACTGTAATTCGACTTCGCAAACTATTGAATATGAGAGTGTTATGTAGTCCAAATTGCAGGTTGTCAAAATAAATAGCCATAAAATCGCTTCAGATGGAAGAAAGTCGAAGGCGAGTATATGTTTATGATACATGATATTTGCGAAAGCTAAGCTACTTAGACAACTGACTGGAACTTCCGCAGAACGCTTGGGAAAGTTCCGCTAGGTCTCCTGCGGAAGTTTCGCAAACATGCTGCAAAAGTTCCGAAGAATGCAAACCACAACAGCAAAAGGGAACACCTAATCGAGATTCGAACCTTGCTTTACTGACTGCCAAATTCACTCACTATCCTTGTACTACGGATGACATATTAATGCACTCTAGTTTTTGGCGACACAATATCGTGAGAGACAATACATTCAGAAACCCGTTAAAGTACTGGCAGGTCGAAGTGCTGCGAAACCGCATTTTTCGAAAGTTTTGCAGCACTTTATAAGAATCCTGTGGCAGTTCCCGTTTTCAGAGAGTCTGACGTGGAAGTCATGCTGAAGTTCCCATTTTCAACGTTTCCACTTTTCTAATAGTAAACGAAATCCTGCGGAACCGCTGCAAATTTTGTTTGTCCTTCGGAAGTTCCGATGACTTGTTTGAGTACATTAGAAAGTAGCTATAACCACTTACTCAACAGACAGCGATGTTTCAAGGTCAAAACCATCGTAAGCTTGTAAAATTTCGTTAGTTTTTCGAATCTCAGACAAACCCTGAATGTACTGTCCGTTTCAAAATGCAAACATGCATATTTCTGTTACCGTATTAATTCTGCAAAGTTAGTCTGCTAGTTTCCTAATCAAGTGTTTTGAAGCTGCTTGTTCTCGAAAACATCCGCTTCAATAAAGATAAGCTTCATATTTACGCTTGATAGTTGGAAAAGGAAATGATCACGTCTTCCGGTGTATTAAAGATTGTTAAAGCAGTTGCGTATGGCTTAGTGAATGTTTTGCAGCTTAGGTACCATTCGAATTACCTACTTTTTTCTCTATCTGACAGAAAACATCCCCTTTGATCCATGGAGTATTCCCAATGTTAACGCCATCGTTCCTCAAGACATTTGGTTTTTTTCGAAATACAGGGTGTCCCAAAAAAATGTTAACACTGTTTGATTGTTAATAACTCCCTTGCTTTCAACTCTTTCGCCGAGCTTTAGGTACCATTCTGTAGAGCGAGGATAAACTTAGATTTACAGTATCGAGCGAATCATCTAACGCTCTTCGTTACCGTAGAATTACGGTAGGAAATTCCAAAATGTGGAACGTCATGAAATATGCCCTCTGACAAAATTTTTTTTCAAAAAATCTGAAAAATCGTGTACTAGGGTTTTCGCGCACGCTGATTTTACTACATCACTTTTTGTGAGTGTTTTCAGCTTTTTTGATGGTGTAATCACATTTTTGGCACATGCTGGGAAGTCAGTTATTACACTTTACCTAGGATAACTTTGAAAAGAAACATCATAATGAAACTAAAATTTCATATCCGAAATCAGCGGCTTTCATTACCATAGTACAAGAGATTTTGGCTTGTTTGGCTCTGTTTCAAAGCAGAAAACGGGCTTTAATAGCTTAAAATCCTTGTCAAATTTCCTACCGTAATTCTACAGTAACGAGGAGAGTTAGATGATTCGCTCGATACTGTAAATCTAAGTTTCTCCTCGCTCTACAAAATGGTGCCTCAAGCTCGGCGGAAAACATGAAAGCAAGGGAGTTATTAACGATCAAACAGTGTTAACATTTTTTTTGGGACACCCTGTACAATCGTAAATCAAAGTGATTTGTAAATTTTCGAATGGCTATGATATTGGGTTGTCCCATAAGTTCTGGCTTTGATTTTTGTTCCTATGACTCCCATTTTTTGACTTCTAAAAAATTCTAGGATATCATCCTATAGAGCGAAGCAAGACCTACAAAATGGCATTCAAAATCTTGCACAAAATTAGTTCCACATTTTCTCAACATGAAAAGAATACTTTGAATGTGTATTTAAATGTTAGAGGGGTGTATCGTGATCAAACTAAAGCTTCTCAAAAATTTCCAAACAGAGTTTTTTTCGAGTTTTCGGGTTTCTGAAAGCTTAGATTATTTTTAACTTATTGTAGAACAATTCTGTACAAATGTTTGGACGCCACTTTGTAATGCTTGCTTTGCTTTATTGAAACAACTTCTAGGGCTTTTTTGATAATCAAGAAATACGGGACTTATTGGGATGGAAAATGAAAAAAGATGGAACTTGTGGGACAATCTAATAATTTGGTTCTAGTTTTTATCTGCTAAATTTGGGTTTATTTAACTTTTGCAATCACTTCGTCATGTTTTCAACGAATGAAGAAGCTAAGCATCTTGTTAGGCGTATTTACCAAAAGATTTAAAAGCTGAGTTTTCAAGGTAAAATGACTGATTGATTGAAAAAAGAACTTAACGCAATGCTTTGTGATATTTAACTCTTTTAATTTATCAAACTTTCCTTGATTTTTCGGCAATCATGTATTACATAATTTCTTCGAAATTTGATCTTCTTGAAGAGCTCAGAATAAATTCTGCAGGCCAGCAAACTTAGTAAAAGTAAACTTTGACAAATATCTGAAAATCAAAGAACTGAAGAACATAATCGTCAGAAAGAAGAGAAAAAGCTGCATTAGAGTGGAGTTGAGATCAAAATTCAGAAAATTCTGAATGAACTTTATAAAGCTGAAAAAACTTAGCTAATTTGCACCAAGCTTTTCCATTTTTGCCTTAACACTTCAAAAATTTCAAATTGCATAGTTACACCATATGTTACTTCTTTTGAATATTAAAAGAAATTTCCTGGCCAAAAAAGTTGTACGAGTTACCTATGTATTTTCAGAAGAGGTTCGGCAATTCCGATGCTTGGTCGAACATGGAAAAGCGACGATTGTGGAAGAGAAGAAAACGATCCGAATTCTCTAGCTGTACCTCTGTAAGTCTTTAGAGCCAATTCAATGATTTTTCCATAGAATTATCCAACCCATGGGTAACCATAGTAAAAATAAGAGTTCAAGTCAATACACCTGATATTTGACCGTAAATCTTGTTAGTCGGGGAGGGTAAGGTAGCTTGGCCTTCGTAGTACGAGCAAATCTCTTTGTTTGCGACTGACTGAGTCTCTGTCCCCTTTTGCACTTCATATTTTCCCAAATCTTACCCTCCGGGCAATACTCCTGGTCAAAATGCCTTTGCCTTGCCGACAAGCTATTGCTTCCTGGTTAAAAAGTCCGGCGTCTTTTACTCGACGACAGAATTCCACCGTGCCAAGGACTCATAGAAGGTAGTGCTGTGTTGAATTACTGTATGGTTACTGTAATGCTTACTGCATGCAATTTCTACGTTCGTTTTCGAATAGTCAGTCGGATCAACCCAACGCATATTGAGATGTTCATGTTAAAAAATTACTGCGGGTAGATTATTGTATTAAGGTGTCTCATATTTTTCAACCGTTTTTTCTACAACTGTCGTCTTTTGTGTCTTTTGCTTAACTAAAGTGCATAGTGTAGTCATTCTATAGTGCAAAACAAGCTCTACAAAATGACTGACAGAAGTCTGCCAAAAGTATTCCACGTGAAGTTTTGAGATCTGGTAGTAGTCAAAAACGAACTTTACCGTCAAAAATCATGTCTCAGCTCCCAAAAAGTTTAAAAAATCCCCCATTTATCCTAACGTATGCTTGACACATCGCACATTCAAATGTACACTTTCCGAATCTTTTCCGTAGCTAGAAATAATTGAAAAAATAGATGGGGTAAAATGTACATTATGAGACTTTGGTCCTATTTAATTTGCAAATCTAGCTAATCTCGCAATTCGAGCTCTTTTGAAAGCTTATTTTTTATGACAAAGTCACTTGAGTCTTCAAAACTTCTTATCGCATTCCAACTCTCCTTGAAAATTGAATTTTATGCCAATTACATGCCCTCAGGGGAATTTACTAGATGGCCTACTTCAAATGCTCAGCTGAAAAGTTGAGGCCATCGTAGGAATAGTACCCAGAAGCATTGAACAAGTCACAATCTACTTATTGTTTTTACTTAAGTGTAGAAATTATTTTTGACTGGAATAGGGATGCAATTATTTTTTAGCTCTATTTTTGTATAGGTTTTCATCTCAAATTGGTATAGTAGGACAGGCTTCTCTTGCACAGAATACCAAATCTGGCATTGTCCTGATCCTGACTAGTTCCGGCTCTTGTGAGATTTTTCTCCATGCAACTTATGAAAATGTTATTCTGGACGTTCATATCCTAACACAAATAATTCTACATTAGATTCTTTGTTATAATTTTTGAGTAAATCCTTATTAGATGAAATTGATTTCAAACTTGCAGCTCAAGTGCGTGGCACAACGGCTCACGGCAATTTTTTTCCTCGAAATAGGTTTTGCCGCCAAGCACCCTCTTAGCCAAATAAGATCCCGATTTTACGCATTTATCGCTGTCGAAATTCCTATGCCTCATAACTAGTCCACTCGAAGTTTAGATCTTTGGTTTTGATAACGATATAGATCTGACTACACGCTAGCTAAAATGCACAGGAGAAAAATTGTATGAAATTTTTTTCTATGAATTTTCTGGATTGGTTTAATGTGTTCAATAATTTCGCAACTAATCTTGGGTTTATAAACCGCTCTTGGTCTTTCATTACGTTAGAAGAATGTGCAGGGTTTGAAAACTTTCCAAGAATGGACTGATATATTTAAAGATATTGTTTTTCTATAAAAAAAATGGTAAGAAAAGTTTCCATAGTTTACGTCCCCATGAGAATATGATTATGACTTGAAATCTCTACTTTCATTCGCATCATTTCGCTTTTTAGCCTAATTTTGTTTTTCTCAGACAAATTTATTTGAAAATGATAAAAATATAAGATTTTTTCATTCATTCTTTTCAAAACTCGCATGTGCCTCTATCATAACGCTCGAGGAAAAAGTTGAAGAAATAACTGAAAATTTTTGCAGCAATAAACTAATTTCGTTGGAAGGAGGATGCCAAGCAAAGGACATTTTTTGAACTGCAAGAGGACACCCTTATTTTTTCTGCGAGAAAATGAAGAAATGTCTTTCTGCTCCAAAACATTTATGGAAAGACCGAAAAAGTAATGATTGTCAAGGGTGTACTTTGCACGAGTGAAATTGTATTTTCGTCGTTATTATTGAAAATGTAACACGATCGGGTACTACATGCAATTTTGATTGGAAAAAGTTGAAACGCCTATCATTTTCTCCAAAACTACTTCACCATATTTGAATTTGGTTACGAACTGCTCATGTTTAAGCTGTAAGTCATTGCTACTGCTTTCAGACAAACTGATCTCTGCTATATATTCAATAAGTAATGAGAATTATCGAGCGCTAATAGGTAGTTAAGTAGAGGGGGGAAGGGGTTAAGTGGCATTTTCTTATCCGATGCATATCATTAGATAGAGCTCAAAACGCTTATCTCAAATCTACCTTCCCTATCTCTCAAACTCTTTTTTGATACAAGTTATGAGCTACTGTGGTGATGTTTTTGTTAATCATTTTGTGTGATTGCACAGCGAGCGTTCTATCTCACGACTACTCACAGCGGTAATGAAACCGTCTAGTAAGAGCAACTGTTTGAAAATGATTCTTTATACTTTTTTCGAACCTATTCAAGCTTGATGAGAGAAAACGACAAAAATCTAGAAATTAGCACAGTGCGGGCGCGTAAGACGTCGAGCAACGTGCGAGCTGTGCAGTACGTACACATATCGTCAAGTCATTTGTAATTTACTAAGCGTATTGCACATCATGCACACTGTTTGACGACTTGTAATTTCACAACTTGCTCATTTCCAGTGATTTCTCCTTGTTTTTTGTCATTTGCCATTTGACTAGATATGCCAGAATTATAGTACACATTCCTGCAGTCTGTTACGTTGAAAAAGGTTCTCCTGAGGGGCGACTAGCAAAAGTGTCGTCGGTTGCCGCGCATAGTGTGCAAACTACATATTAAGTCACGAATGACTTGAGGATAATGAGTTACAAGTGCAAGCGACTCAAGTGCATATGGATTTTGCGTGCTCATCATTTTGCCAAATCTAGGATTGAGAAGATCCTCATTTGTAGCTCCAATGATAATATATATGAATAAAAATAATTGGTCCAAGAGAAAGAGAGTAAAATAATGTTTATTCAACAAACTCTATAGAAATTCCCAGTCACACAGTTCATTTGCTGCGTGCAACACTTTGTGCAATTGCACCAAATCTAGCGGTGGAAAGAATTCGCTGAAGACAACACAATGCAATGCGTGGCGTAAGCGCGCAAATGCACCTATGGCTCGAAACGTACTATAAGCATATCGAATCATATGGAACATTTTGCATAAAATGCCCCATCAAAAACAGATTTTTGCATATCTTAGCACCTAAACAGCCATTTTACCGACAAATGGCTTTGTTCACAAATTTAAACCTATGTTCATGCATATAGAGCACCTTATAAATTTTTCGATAAAATTTCCAAATAAGAAAAGATGGATCGCGTTTCTGATTCGAGAGCCATTCATTTAAATGCGTTAAGTTTTATATCTCCCACTTCACAGCAAATGTCTCATTCCCTGCTAATTGTAAAAAAAGTCGTTTTATCAGAAAGATTTATTACGCGGACGAATGGCCTATCATTAATTTTGAAGCAAACTAACTGAGTTATGTGATAATGCTCCTCCTCTCACTAATTCTTGAACCCTGCTGAGTCTGCAGGCTTGTTTACATGAAAAGAAATTGCGCGCTGAAGAGATATTTTGCATAATTTTTACTTTATCATCGATCAGCTGATGCCGTTAATGTCAACGCTTCATGCCGGAAGATCTCAGTTTTGCTCACATATCTCCTTTTCTTTTTTCAGTTCTATTTACAAAAAAATTGGGCTCACTTTCTCCACGTTTTTCATTGTTTTTCAAACAAAATTGGAAATGGAGAACATACAAAAAATGTGAGATAATTCACTAAGATTCTGGATTATTCTTTTTCAAGTTTGTCTTTATAACACATTGAACCGAAAGTTCTTTCGCATTATTTTTGAAAAATTGTGCATTGTTTTTTTAACGCAAATTTGACCTCGTAACCTCGTACAAATGGGATATTCTGTCAGTTTCATAGATTAGTTTTTATATTTCGAAAAATCCGTATTTACCTTGCTTCCGCGTGTGTTCGCAAAAGGAAGTCCTAAGCTATTCGTTATCACAAAAATCAAAGATATATTTTCTTTTCTTTTTGAAGCACTGTGACGATACTATCACTTCTTGGTTACGCAAACAAATTGGCGCAATTGTTTTAGGTCCAGATACAAACAAAGTGAATTTTTGTCTATCAAAGCAGTATCCTGCAAAATTCTTTAAATTTGTTTTTATTAGGTTGGCTCGAAAGTTCTGGGACATTTTCAGATAACATCTGCCATTTTTCGAAACTCAATGCATGTATATCCGGTAGAGGTACCATTCTATAGACCAAAGCAATCTCTACAAGATGGTATGCAAAATTTCGCACCAGCTTCAACCCACCGTAAGTTTGCATTCAGAACCTGAGTCGTACTGAAGGCCTCAAAAAATTGGAAAAAATTCATATCTTCGTTTAAATAAATCCTACGGATCTCCAGCTTGCTCAAGCAAATTGCACACCATATCAGACACTCATATGTACCGTTCCTGTATTTTTTCTTCATCTAATCGACAAAACGAAAATTTTCATGTTTGTAGAAAAACGAAGCTGTGCTTGTTCCCACTCATGTAATTGTACAGTACAAGCCATTAGAAGTGTAACCGTAAATATTCAGCCTTCCTCATGCCTTGGTTTTTGAGAAATATTGATTTTAGCGTGGAACACCCGAGCGAGTGCAGCTCAATTTGATAATTTTTGGAAACTAGGGCCTGTAGAAAGCTGAAAATTTGATATACTTCTAATGGCTTGTACTGTACAATTACATGGGTGGAAACAGCACAGATTCGTTTTTATACAAACATGAGAATTTTCGTTTTGTCACTTTCTAGATGAGGAAGAAATACAGGGACGGTACATATAAGTCTGATGTGGTATGCAATTTGCTTGAGGAAGTCGGAGATCTGTAGGATTTATTTGAACGAAGATATGAATTTTTTTCAATTTTTCGAGCCTTCTGTACGACTCAGATTCTGAATGCAAACTTACAGTGGGTCGGCTTTTGCGAACTTTTGCTGGTATCCGTATCGGATGTAACCTTTGATTCAACTGGCTTGGCTTCGAGCGGTTTTTTGTGACGTAGTTGAGGCCGCTCGCGCCCGCGACGCACTTGCGTCTCTCTCGCGCGGGTGCTCGATCACTAGCTAGCCTTAAAGGCAGTGTCACACCAAAGTTGAGGTCGCGCGGATCTTTACATATTCTATTATAGGGACCTCTAAATAGGCCACTGCAACAAGTCCCACTCAATTTGACCTCCTCCACGCTGAGAAAAATTTGCTCAAAGTGGTACGCGGAGAGCGACTTGTACGCGCGGACGACTCCTTCGGTCTCCCCCCTTACGCCTTTGAACATGTCCCTCCACTTGGCATCCACCTCCCCTCTGTTGCTGCCACTGTGGCTGTGGCTGAAGTTGGAGGGCACAACTCGTCCACGTTGCTTCCGCGGGGCCTCCAGAAAACGGGGTTTTTGGGGACTTCGTGCGATTTTAAGCCCATGCAGTGCTAAACAGGGTCCGACAGGCTTGCAAAATGCAAAAATCTCGACAACTAAATTTTGGTGAGACACTGCCTCTAATTAGGTCACGGAGCCCCGCCTTTCCGAAGGCCAAGCCAGTTGAATCAAATGTTACATGCATTAAGTTTCGGGAAAAAGCACATCTAGTCTGAAAATGTCCCAGAACTTTCGAGCCAACCTAATATTTGCCATAATTAATCAGTGTATGGCAATGGCATCCCTCCCCCCCGAGAAATGGTCCCGAAATTTCTGAAAGTTACTTACATAAGTTATAAAAATGTGCAAATGACTTGTTTATACTTGTAATTATTCAAAATAGTAAATTTTTTGGAAAATCATTTTAACCTTACAGAAAAAAATTTTTCGAGGGCGTGGCTGTCGCCGTGCCCCTTTTTTTTTGAAATCTCGAGATTATGGGCCCGCCAAAATTTTAGGAAGCATACAAATTTCGGAGTGCGTGGCTGATGCCACCCACCCTCACCAGAAAAATCCTTCTCGCCCCCCCCCCCCCAGATCAAATTTGACGAAGCCTCAAAGTGCAAAAATGAAACGCCAGACCATTGTAATTGCCCCAATCTGTATACAGGAAGGAGTGAGGAAGAAGAGGGAGGGGCACATAAAGGCGCATTTTCCCTTTATTATCCAATTCAATTCCATATGGTCCCAAAGAGCTAGAGCAACTAAGTATTGCTGGCGGATAGTATATCACCTCATTCAGGAATGGAATGGCTCGACAGCTATCCATCTCCGATGTTTCTCCAGGTGAAACAAGCCCAAGAAAAGGACAACAGCTTTGTCTTAACCTCAAACAGAAGAAAGTGTTACGGGTAAGTTATTTCTCAAAATCCCTGACCTCATAGCAGTCGACAGATTTCAGACAACCTTTGCGCAGATGAATTCCGGTGGAGCATTTCTTAAGTTGATGGAACAAGTATTTCGGAGATTAGAATCAAAATACCCAGATATCAGGTTAGTAGTGGGTAGTCACGGTAAGATTACGGTAAGTGTTGATAACTTTTCTTCCAGGTCAATATTCTTGACAACAGCGTTCGTGAACTCTTTGTCAAGAGAACGATCTTCACCACCTTTGGTTCGTACGGAACATGATCACTGCAAGTGCCTAGTAAGTAGTGTCACGTTTTTGGTTATATAATTTGGGATACGGTAGGTATACCGTAGCAAAGAGCAGCACCATTTAACTCTTTCCACCCTTTTCCTCTCACTAAAATTGCGTGAAATAGACTTGTTAGTAAACAGTGTTCAGCGTCTTGTAGTAAGCTCGCTCACTTAATCGCTAATGCTCATGCTGTGAGATTACGGTAGGTCTACGGTAGCGATGAGCATCACTGTCTAATCCTTTCTTTTCCCATGACATTTAAAAAACATTTTAGGTAGCCTTATTCGAAAAAATCATGGAAAACCTCGACGATGCGAATAATCAGCTCGCTCTTATACGGTCCTATGGAGAGAAGCATGCACAGGTAAACTTCTTTTTCTTTTTCTCTTTTTTCTTTTCATTTTCAACTTTCAAAGAAGCAATTTCCATTTAGATGAAGCAAAGTGGCATGTCGGCCAGCATGATCGAGCATTTTGGAGAGATTGCCGTGGCCGTGATTGCATCTCAGGTCAATTTGAGTATTTAACCCCCTTTAGAAAACAACTGATATAATATGCATAAATCACTATTACACAAAAATTTTGAGCGGAGAAAAACTTTCAAAAAGAAAACATAAAACATTCCAAATTCGGCTGTTTCTGAATCTTGGCATGGAAATGTCCATGCGTTATACTGTTTTAGCGACAACCAAGATTTGTATCAATTCTTTATTGGCTAACGTTTCGGCGATTTCGCCTTCGTCAGAGTAAAGTTCAAGTTCAAGTAATGTTTCACTCAGATGCCAATTGAGTAGTCAGCCTAACACTCGATTGAGATAGAGTAACAACGCGGATTACGGTAGTTGATACCAACCGGAACTCGAAAGGTGAAATGAACACGTTCTAACAAGGTCATTCCCCCGCTCGTTTTATAAGTGCTAGTTCTGTATCAAATCCGCATATGGATTGACAGCATGATAGCTCTTGCATGATAGCAATGCACTCATCCTTAGCGTTCATCTTTGGGATTTTTGCATTTATCCAAAACGCCTCTAAAGTTTTGTGCGTTAGGGTATCAGGCTCGAACGATACGATCATGACTCCAATTTGAAACGCTACATTGTCGTGCCGTGTCATGCGGTGTGAACCCAAAGGCGTGTTCGACTTAGGTTTTTGTCCGTCTAGACGTTCTTTTACACGCAACGAGGGCTCCAGTTTCAAACATCACCACATGATAGGCATGTAATGCCTATAAATTACATATAAACTACACCCGAAGCGTTAGCCAATAAAGAATTGATACGAATCTTGGTTGTCGCTGAAACAGTATAACGCATGAAGATAAAAAACGTTTTTCTAAATATTTTTGACTTCCCCAGAAATAATCTATCTGTAAAGTAAACTCTTTTGATTTTCGTACATCTTCCTGTGCTTCGCAGTTTCATATTCTTTATTCCGAGTTCCTAAGCACATATTTGCATTTTGTATTAGTTCCTGACCAAAAATCATGAAAATAAGGAAAAATGGCGAACTTCTAGCAGTTTTAAGATCCTTCTACCAAGGATTCGTCCACATATCTTCTGAATTAAAACCATGTGCCTTGGTCAAAAAAATATAAATTATGATGAAAATGTGACAATGCCACAGTAGTGGTAACAACTTATTCTGAAGCCTAGCTCGAATTAGATGTTTGAATATTTAAAAAAATTGATCATTAGACAAAAATACCGTTAAATCTTTCCAATGATAGCATTTTTTTCAGGACTACATCAAATACAATCACGATGCTGTGAAGGCTTGGCGACTTCTACTAGCCTATGTAACCGACGAAATGATGGTTGGATTCGATCGTCTCAGCCGAATTTCCGACAGAAGAAATAGCGCTACTCAATGTCCAAGAAAGATTCAAGCTTAATCGCACCATAAAAGTAATGACAAATGGCAACATGCTGTCGCAAGCCAATGTAAACAAGCAAAATATCCTCATTCATACGCATATCGCCTAGCAAGGGAAGGTTACCGAGTTTGTTACACTGTGGTCTAACTGGCCACGCGGATCTGCGGTAATGCGGTCGCGATGTTGCGGCCGATGCACGTCTCACGATTTGCGCATGGCTACTTGTTAACTCTCAACTGCACTGTTCTGCTTTGTCACTTAGTAACCTTCCCTTATTCTTAGCGGCTCACTCTCTTTCTGTACCTTGAAAGTCATCCTGCTTTGCGTTTACCTTGCTGTTTACTTTATCTGTACATACGTATATATATTTGGTTGAATAAAAATGTTGAATCAAGAATAATAAAACAGAAAAGAGTGACGTTGAAAGCTTACCTCTGCATGTTTGTAAACAGACACTACCGTGCGACGCATGACGGATTATACGCATTTCGATTGCGACACCAGTGGAATGTTGTAATTGTGCTAAACGCCCTCGGTGCCGTGCAACGCGTTGTGGTCGATTGTACGAAATCGCCCATATCGCTGTAGACTGAACGTCTGCCAGCGTATCTTGTGCGCGGCCTAATCTGTGGCCTGCAGATTACTTTGCACTGGCGCTTGATGACCCATGCAGTCTCGCAGCGGTTGGACGAGTGCAGTCGACTTTACACCTCAGTGCAAGCGGATGTTAACCTTTGCAGAACTTCTACTCCGGTCGTACCCTTCTGACTCACATTTTGTACTTTCCTTCGACGACTCCTAGAATCATCAGCCACACTTTTATCAATAATGGTCTACGAGTATACGACTTACCGGTGGGTTGTACGTGTCTTGCCATATCGGAAAATAAAGCTTACGGTGGAACTGCAATTCTGGCACATGATTGGAGAAACCCAGACGATGCTGCGACCGGCATAATCCAGCTTCAGCTCACTGTAAAATAGTAACGGTAGGTGTGCAGTAAAAAGTGCACGGGGTCTGTAAAATGAAATTTTGCTCTAATTTTGCGTGCACATGCTTGCAGACGACGTTTTCGTAATAGCTTACCCCGCATTAAGCAATGTTATTGATTTATTGATTTACAAAGCGGAGATTTGGTCTGTAGCTCTCAGGAAGCTGATGACTAGATGGAACAGCCAAACATTACTTTGTTGCTTCCGAATTGCATGTGCATGTTGTTGCCTTGATCTGCCTGCGATCTTTTGCATCTTGACAGCTGCAGTTAAGAATTGCTGAAGATGACTTTTTGTCAGCTTTTGAATTGCTTCAAAGCAATACAAACACTGTTCCCTCAGAGAAATCCGAAAACATTTCTCTCGTCGCGCCACTTTGATGCAGTGATTACAAGAGCGTTTTGCTGTGCATGTATTTGCTTCTCTTCAATTTCTTTTCCGCTACTGCTTTGGGCTAACTAATCGAATTGGTGATTTTTTTATTACCATTGGCTGTGCGTAATTTCGCCTTTGAACACAGCTTGATCGTCTTGATTCCGTAGCGGTGGCGCTTGTTGAATGTTAAATATCCAAACAGTAGCCTTCCTTTGAATGGAACTATCGCTCACCAATGCCAACTTTCTTTCCGGGTCTAACGGTCCGTTTTCACGAGGAATTCAGTGAGTTTGTATAGCCTGTCTGTTTCATTACGCATGGCATTAATAACAAATGAAGATGTGCAAGAATTTTCTCGAATAGAACTCCTGTCATGACGTGAGCGCCGCTTGAATTTCCACCGAAAACATGCCTAGTGCTCCAGTAACTTTTGCAAAGTGGGTAGTTGTACAACTTTCAATCAAAAACATAAGATTGCGAATTTTCTTATTCATTCTGCCTCAGGTGCTTCCGAGGGCTTCTTGCCTAAACAGCGTATCTACTTGTTCCACAACGTAGGGTCAATGGCATTTATAATGATGATGAGATTGGAAAATTCAATAGGAAATGTACACGCTTGGCATTATCAATGAAGCCTTCGTCGAGATGCCAAGCATCATGTACTGTGAAAGTAACTGACCAAGAACTACTAGTACAAGGTTCATCGCCGAATTCCTCATCTACAGTTTCTTCGTCTTCTTCAATTCGTGTATCCTCCGGCGGCTTCCTTAAAACTTTCGATCATGAGCTCGAAACTGTCATTGCTCATTATCGTCAATCCCACTCTCTGTAGAAAAAGCATGAGATACAAAATACACCGTGACTGACTCGTGCACGTACTCAAGCCGATAAAGCGTAACATTGTAGCGCCAAGTTATAATGGAATCGCTCTCTGCACGAGCTCAAAAAAAAACTATGACACTACTACATAGAGCACGTTTGTGAGTCCTTCACAACTTTTCACGAGTTTTGTTATCTTTATTACTTACGAGACCACAGTGATCCAACGCTAACACCTTAATGAGTAAAATGAGTGATATCTCCGTACAGCAACTTCGATGACCACAAAACACAACTATTTACAAATTTTTGTGGTTTTGACCGATACACATAAGCCTATGCTGAGTATCAAACGATTAAAATGAGTATCATTTCCGTAATGAAACATTTGATAACACCCTGAGAAAAGTTCTCGATTTAGTTTCTGAATCTTTCTAAAAACATTACCAATTCGGACATAGGACCCGTGAGTGGATCTTAAAGGCAGCGTCCACCCAGAATTTGGCCCCCATGTTTTCGTCATTCTGGGGCCTTTCCGTGGCCCTGATTACAGTTCCGAACTTCAAACTCTCTAAAATTTACAAAAAACCCGATTCTTGGAGACCCAGTCTTGAGGGCGCGGACGAGTTTCGAATTGCTCGTCCCCGTCGGCAGGCCAGAGGGAAGGAGCTGCAACTGCATGGGTGCAGTTGCATTGCAGTGTGCAGTGTGCAGCTTCTGCTCACTACCTTGTCAATACGTGTCGACAGGCACGTATTGACATGGTAGTGAGCAGTCCCTGGTGGGCGGAGTCTGATATCAGACTCCGCCCAGCCAGGGACTTTCAGGCCCATTATCTCCGTCCAGAGACAACGTTAGAAGACCGGACCAACGCAGATGCACCTTTTCTGGGGCCTACATTCAGGATCGACACTAATCGGAGGGGGTTAGGTTTAGCCTGGACACTGCCTTTAAGTTGGTAAAGCAAAAAAGGCTCTGCCAACTTCCGAAATGGCAGTATCAAAAAAGTGGCACTGTCTGAATGAGTAAGCACTGATAAGCAAAACAAAAATTCGATATAACTCAAAACATATGAGATAAAATGTGTGAAAGGTACAACCACTGACGCACGAATACATAAGGTACAACCGATAGCACCATGTTGTCCAAAGATTCCATTCAAACTCAAGTCAGCCAAGCCCTACAGTAATTAGTAGCCAGGGCCCGGCACGCGTTGGTTTGGAGGTTTTTAGGAAACGAAGTCCCCCATGACTTCACGAAAATTACGAAGTCCCTCTCGATGTGAAAATCAGTAGGGAAACTCTTATTCAACCAAAATAGCAACAAAAAAGCGAAAAAAGCGCATTTTGAGGTATGTAATATAACAGAAAAGCAAAAAGAAAACATTTCGAGTCGATTAAAGGCTCTGCCATTGGGTATAGTACCATTTTGATGCTGGGAATGTCGAAAATCTCCTAGGCCAACCAAATCTGTAGCCTCAACAGTCCTGCGATGCATTTTTCGCCACATATTTCAAAGGACACCGCATGATTGGAGCGCGATATCCATCAACGCGTAGAATTATAGTACTTTTGACTCAAAAATCGGGGAGAGGCAACGGTTTGATCCGCTCTATTCACTATATGATAGATTTTTGACCGTTCTAATCGTCCAAATCAAAAAGATCCAAAACTTATGTTAACTCTCCGATATTTATGCTCCGAACCAACCCAGTTGGTTTGGTAGTTGGTCTAGAAACCAACAAATTCGAGAACGGATATTAGGACACATAAGTCCGGGAAGGTTCATAGATAGGCTCCCACAGCCGGAGCCCCTACATTTTCTCCGAATTATATGTGGTGTCCCCCTCGAATACAAACTGAAGAATGGCTATCCCAGCTCGTCATCCCTACTCTCCGCGGAGATAAAATTCAAAATATGCACTACCGCCTTTATATAGCGCCTCTTACGCTGGAGCTGTGAGCACGAGCTACCCCTAGAAAAATAGAGCTACCAAAACTACATGTCAATGGCCAAATGAGATTACCCCAGCCCTGCAACTCTTAGAGATATAAAGCGCCGAAATCGCCCTTATTGACAGATTTCCCAAGTTCGGCTGTCAATTAGGCACTTTTAATGGAAATTTGTTATTCTACGACCTTCTCTCTAAAAATCATATTTTCAGAGATCTGTCGAATAAAACAAACCCCAGCCCCGTAGCTGTAATATTCGCAGAGTTATTAGCCCCCCAACATGCATGCTCAGGCCGTAAAATCGGCTCCCCCAAAGTTGCTCCGTAATTCCCCCAAAAATCATGTTAGACACCTCTCTTATACCTATACACACCATATTTTTTCCAGCTTCTTAGAAGCAATACACACTGATATAGCGCGCTCTTGGCCTCTCGCTCCTCACTCTTGGCCTCGGCGTAAGATTTGGTTAAAATATTGAAGTTCTCGGATTTACTGTAAACTTCACTCATAGTGGTTTTTGGTCCCGATCTTTACGAAAATCCTATTTATTTTGCACTAGAGAGTCTTACAGTAAAGCTAAAGTGAGATAGAAGTAGCTGGACCAACCAAGATCGCAACTTCGCCTGCATTTTTCCCCCATGCTTAGCACAGATCTTTATTTGAATTGTTCGTCAGATTATGATGTTACAAAATCGCCTTCTCATGAATTGTCTTTCAAATTCGAAGGTCGTGTAATTTGGCAGATATTCTATCCTACAATGTGCCACTAGCAGCAAAACAATATAAGAAATGTTGTTAGCACGTCGAGTACAATACCGCTTACAGAATGTGCAAAATTTCCCTGAATCGCAAAATTCCGAAAATTCCATAACAGACTGCTCTACATACAATACCGCTCATAATTCGTGAAAAAAGTCGCCGGACTGCGGCGGAGTGCGCTAGAGTGCGTCGGAGTGTGGCGAAGTGTGGCGCAGTGCGCCGGAGTGCGGCGGAGTGTGGTGAAGTGTGGCGCAGTGCGCCGGAGTGCGGCGGAGTGTGGTGAAGTGCGCCGCACTCCGCCACACTCCGCCTCACTCCGGCGACTTTTTTGACGAATTATGATCGGTATTGTATCTTGCAACGAGAGAGCAACAATAAATCGATTAAACAAGTAACAAAGTTATGTCAATAAATGGGATCTAACTACAAATATAATGAACTGAGAAAAAGCAAAACTAAATAGCAAAGCGAATGGTTTAAGTAAGCCACGTACAACGATACTTATATGCATGAGTCTACGCCTCTAGTTGCAGCTGCGCGCGACTTCACAGATGACGACTAAAAAACTGTGCATCTGCGCCTTCTCCAGAAACTGTGCTTTGAGATGATTAACATTTCGTTGAACCCTTTTAATTGCACAGGCTGAAGGGCCATCTGTTCCGAAGCGTAGGAGTCACTTGCATCCCAGTTGGATCTTGATGCTGCAGATTTAGACTTCGCCTCTAGCCTCTGGTTGCAAAACTTGCACTTTGGCGCACAAAGTTTGCGCAGGCACCTCTCAGTATCATTCTGATCACGCAATCACATACCTCCATCTCAGTGATGCCCTTCGAATATCCGAAAACGGGTTTCACACCCATGCACATAACTAATGTATGGATGACAGTAGAAGAAGACCTCAAGGGCTTTCTCAGTGGACTAAAATTAGACGAAACAAGTTGTCCCTTTTCTACTGCCTTATCAAGACCCCAAACTTAATAATACTAATTATACTCGCTTAATGGACGGAAAAATGATAGGTTAATTATGTGTCTTAGAAGGGGGCCACTATAAATCAGTATTGCTAGACCAAATAAGTCAGCAATCGACAACCCATTATTAATACAACAGCATACGATATATCATCACGACAACTGTTACATCATACAGACACGCAGTTCAAAATGAATTAGCGTTTTCGTTTATTGAAACAGCAATCTAAAACATAACAAGGATGGTTGGCCTCACACGAACGTACAACACAGATTGTCTGGCCGTAGTGCGATCGAGAAGCGTTATTAGAAAGTCATTAGAAAGCTCAACGAACACTACTAATGCTTGTTTCTCGCAATTAATTTCATCTGCTGTAACATGGGAGGACGTGCATTATACTACAAAGACCTCGCCGCCAAAGCTCGCCGCCATAGTCGGCACGCGCGCCGAGCTGGCTTACTTATCCCGCACCTTTTTTGCACCGGTGGGCCTGAGCCATGGCCCCATTTATTTCTACTCAATCGGCTGCACGGGCGGCCGCGGCGCGTGTCAGTACTGCGCTTAGGTCGCCCTTGCAGCCTCCAGCCATTTCCGCCGTTCTAGTCATAAAATATGTCTTTGAGCGAACGGCACATCATCCTTCCGAGAATATCAAGAACTTTGGCCTTACTTTTCGCTTTGAACTTAACTTTTGAATAGGATAAGTTATTGACTCAAGTAGATAGTACACTGAGCTATTCACTGAAAGTTGCTTTGTCTCATACTTCACAATCTATTGTTTCTTTTTTATATCTCTTTCATAGTTCTTTTCAAGCATTTTTGCAACCCTCTCACGTTTTTGCTAGCTGTCATTTTAACTAAAATCCTTTCACGCTCAGTGATCATGGAGAATTTTCTGATGTTAGCGACCTTTGCTGCAAACTGCTGTGGTGTTCTGACTAATTGCCTTATCAGTCATTTCTACCTAAATTTTTCGAAGATTGCTTTTTTTTGATTGTCAGTTTGACGCCAATCTCACGATTTCAGAATGCGATGGTAACAGGACTGTTTGGTGCGATGATATGCGGAGAGGTATATGCTTGCATGGCAGAATGAGGGGTCGAAACAACGTTAGTCACGGTTCATGTTGAAATTGTGTTCATGTAATCAAAATGAAGTTTGTTTTCAGACTGAAAAGTGCACTATGGAATCACAAGGAGACATGAGAACAATGCTCGTTGCTCATGATTACCCCGGTTCTTCAGTTGATGTCGTACGATTTGGCCTCTGGTAATTTGATTTTCAAGAACTTTTGTCTTTCAGCATGTGTCTTACTCTAACTTTCACTCTTTTTAGAAAATCGGTACCGCTAATTCAGTTATTTTATGAGAAGGGCAGAAAGTCTACTATAGTGTCTATTGCTAGCCGCTTTGTTCAGCATCGAGCTGTTATATTTCCTCCATTTACTACGGTATGATTTACGATACTACGAACAGAGGTGGTGAGTTAATTCATAATTGCAGTTGCAGGATCGGGGCGACTTGTTGACTCTTACTGAGGACCGATTTGTCATGAATGCCACCAAAATCTGATCGGCGTTCCATTACCCAGTGGAAGTCGTTGGTTTGACTAACGAAGGTTTGTAATACGATTATGGTCTCGTCCGCTATTCATTTTTCACACAACATTTCAGCTGCGGTGTCCTACATATCGCTGCGCCATTTGAGCATCGCTTAGATTCTGATGGCCATTTTGGCGGAGTCGTCCATGTTCATTACTTACAGGCGGTGGAGCGAAAGAAGGTATTGTCGCTGATGCTGCTAAAGTTCTTTATTATCACTTTAGTTTTCGCTTGAGATCGAATCACACAAAGTATTCCATTCTCCCAAATTTTGCGAGTCCGAGCCTTTTTTTCATAGTTTGGTATCGCTATTAGTAGCATAGGTAATGTCGTGGATGCACAATGGTTTTAACAGGATGGTATACTGTGGATGACTTACTATGAGGAGTACGTGAAAAGACGTGTTCGAGCTTGTTAAGCAAGGTGTGCAACAGCGTGCTCAGTATCCTGACAACTCACTGGTCCTGACAGGATAACCTGTTGAAACTTGAAAATCCCATTGCTCAAACTTCGCCACAGTTTTGACTTCATCGAATCGCGATGGCATCCCGTTTGCAGCTGTGGGCCTGTTCGAAATGCGCGAAGGTATTACTTTGCAAGAACCTCCTATCACATCTGAGAGTACATAGGCTTTCAGATGGTGACATAAAGCAGGTGAGAGTGGACATGGCTGTCACCTCATCGGCGGCTAGTGAATCTCCTCTATTGTACTGCCCCATTTGCGATGAGGGTCTGAACGATCATGTGAGCCTCGCTCATCATTGCGACGACAGGCACAGCGATGTGGGTGCGAACGGCAAGCCACAAGACTATGCCGTTTTCACACTGACTTTTGGAAGTGATCGTCAGTTCGAAGTAAGATTTCGAATCGCATATTGCATGGTGGCCGGTGTAGAGGAGGGGACGAGGGGGGGGGGGGGGGAAAGGAAAAGGACTAGTAGGGCTGCTGGGCTAAGGAGTGAGTCTTCAGTTTATCCTTAACAGCATTATTGAAAAGCATTGTTGTCTCCTCTCCTTCTGCACTATCCATGTCTATTTACCAGAATTTGTAGTTTGCCATTCTGCACTTGTGTATGTAGGTGTGGCTCAACGAGCAATGTGAGAGGTCCGAAACCACATTTTACAAACGATCAAGCTATGATGGAGGAAAGAGTTACAGCCTAAGGTAAAGCTGATATGTGCCTCGTGAATGCACCCATCGTCAATCCTAGATGTAACCGTGCCGAGTTTACAAGAAGACTACTTCAACAAGAGCAACAAGCAGCAAGAAAGATGTTCTTAGCTGCTCTTGTTTTATCAACGTTCATGCCAAAAATGAAGATAGCATAGAAGTTTATGGCTGCTTCGGGCACGTCGGGCACGAGGTTGAGCCTGCATTATTGCGACTGACGCACACTCAGGAACAAGTCCTTAAGCGTCTGTTAAAAGGTAAGGATATCATAACTTCTTATAACTGAATAAGCTTGTGTTCAATGCAGAGCACTCAATGGATTATATCCTGCACCGCCTAAAAAAAGATTACTCAGCGAAAGAAAACAGACTGTATTTTGTGGATAAGAATGACCTCTGGAACCTCACTTACAAATACGGACTTCGCCCTGGATTCTTGCATAAAAATGACATGGACTCGTTGATGCTACGGGAGTCCGAGAGAGATCCTGACGATGATATCCGCCCACTTCACATTTCGAACGATCAGAGTGGGAAGGGATTTCATTTGGGTAAGAGACCAGCTTTGTTATGCACGTACTTAATGCGACAGATTCAGTAATCATAACCTCGATCCAAATAGATTGGTTGAAAAGATTTTTAAGAAAAGGGATCGCAGTAGATGACACACGTAACATAACCCGCTATAATCTGAAGCTGGCCACAGTCACAGTAGCGGATGAAAAAGATAGAGGGTTACCGGCAGGTTCCAATTTATGCTCTCATTTCGATTAACTTTGTAGTACATTCAGCACGACTGTTATAGCCTTCCTTCTCAGTGGTACTATGACAAGCGAAGATGTGCGTCTACTGTTTACTGAAATTAAGAAGCTGGTACCAGAATTTGACCCTCTGCAAATCGTAACAGATGAAGCACCATGTTTTGTCATTTTCGCATGGCATTTCCGAATTCAAAGGATTACACTATTGCCGATGGCATATCGATCAAACTTTTAAGAGAGCTATCAGGAAATTTGTTGAGGTTATGAGTTTATGCGAGTTGATAAATTCCAAGTCAATTTTTTTTTCAGGCGCGCTTGCGGTCAAGAATCAATAAAGACCTACACGATTTACTTTCAATCAATGACTTGAGCACCTTCGAAGGAAAATTCGCACAGATCCTCGCGTATCTCGAGGTAGAAGGGCAGGGAGCAATGCCTCAGTATCTGAAGGACAATTATCTAGGTGCAACTCATATCTGGCAGAGGCATCTACATTATTCGAATCCTTTTTTAGGTAGAACTCGTAGTTGCGCCTCATTCGCAAATCATGGAGTTCTCGACACCACTATGATAAGCGAGAGGTGGCATCTCCGCCTCAAACAAGATTTTCTTCAACAAAACGCCAACTCCCGCGCCGATTTCTTAGTCGATCTCCTAATCCGAGCCGTCGAAGACATTGCTGACACTGCAGAGATTAGGGTAAAACAGATTTTATCACAAGTAAAACACTTCTGATTATAATTATTTCAGAATCGCCGTCGTTAGCCAATGCCTCATATCGCATCCAAGAAACAACAAAGTGTCATCGGTGGGCTTTGATCATGTATGGGAAAAGGCAAGAGAAAATCACGATGATCGGAGAAAGGAAGTGGCACCTGCAAGGAAAAACTCCCGATGAAGTCTACATAGTCACGCAATCAGACTGCGAGTGTGCAGATGCATTGAGTAGAAATGTACATTGCCCTCTGTGTAACATATGCCCCTATGCATGGAATTGTACCTGTCTCGATAACCGCGCAGGCATCAGCTGCTTACACAGACATGCAACGAAATTATATGGAGGACCGTTAGCGCTTTTATCGGAAACGAACCACAGAAAATCCGGTAGCTACAACACAGGAGTTGGAGAATTCCGTAAATATGACTGAAGCAACTTCCTCTAATCCGGTGACTGAGGCACAGGAACGGAGAGACCAGAGAAGTCAGATACGGAACAATATCAAAAGCGTGAGTTTCGGTTTTCCCCAGTGTTTTCTATGAAAGAGCAGACACTTCCAGAAGTTTTCGGTCATCACTGCGAACGTGAACTCATTAGTCAACACCAATACGGAGCAAGCGTTGAGCTTCCTGAAGGACATTTACGAATTGGTGGATCAGGCGTCTATGATAAAACTTCATCCTGTTTCTGAGGTCAACCTAGCATTTCACCAGAACTTGCCAAGCTCGGGGGAAAGCCACTTCTAACAAAAGCGGAACTTTTTACTGTGAGTTTCTAACGTCATACGTACTGATCATCATGCGGAGTATTTCAGCCTTCCCAGTACCGCAGCAGAAAAAAGCAAATTGGAGAAAAGTAATGTCGAACGCTGTAAGTTGTGATCGTAGCTTGTCGGAAGCATTTCAATTTTCACTGCAATTTGCGTCTTCAGGCACATCGCTATCGTCTTTTCCTGAGTGCTCTTACAAACTCGGCATAGATGTGTTTATGATACTCGATTTCATTTATCTGCTTCATTATTTGTTGCCATTCAATTGAATCATTTTTTGCTTATCTGTCTCTTTCACGAGAGATGCAGCATCATTTGATTTGGTTCCTTTAATGTATTCACTTTTTCGAGACGTGTCAGTATTTGTCAACTCTTTGATCTCTTATATCATTCTCAGAATCTCGACAGTGAATTCATCTCAGTTATTTATATCACGCCTGTTACTCTCTTTTCGCCAGTGGTAGATCCCATTCCTTCCGAACTAGCCATGTAAGTTCCAGAATCTTCCACCTTCTTATCACTTGTTTTGACAGTAACATACTTAACTCATGTTAATAAGTTTTCTTTTATTCTTATTGTCAAAGCAACAGAAAGTTGAGCGGTTGAGCTAGCCTTGGAGGGTTAGTTTAACCCTGGAAAGCAATTAACCCGTATTCATGAAACACAGTGTAGGCTTAAGCCTGAGGGTTAAATCTACCCTTGAGGGTAAACCTTACCCCGAAAGCGATTAACCCGTATTCATCAACAAACCCTGAGGGTTAAACAAACCCTGGAGGGTAGAACTTACGTGATTCATCAGGGTTAATTTAACCCTAGCCTGGAGCAAGGTTAACTCTACCCTAACACTTCATACAAACATTTACACCATCTAATAGTTTTATGGAACACGATCAACGAGTATTGTACTTGGTATTAGTTGTTGTTATAGTATATAGTTTCGACTTCGTTTTATGTTCGAATTCAAAGTACATGAAACACTGACTTCGCGAAAAATTGAATTCTAGCTTTGGTGACAAATGAATGCGACGAGGAAAAATGGTAGCGCATTCCACTCTGACAAGTGCCAAAACAGAAGAACCACTTTATGATAACACGCACTGACCCCTAAAAGAGTAGCACAAGCCCGGTGTAAAACGAACTGCGCAAAGTAGAACTTACACGGCACAATTGCACACATGAAAATAAACTCACGCTGTAAGTTTGGATGCTGCACAAATATGCTAGAGATGTATTATAAAAACTAGTGTTAGAAGCTTATTCGTTGATTTTGCTACTATAACGGTGCAAGAATAGAAGTATAAAGTGAATTTAGCACGTACTTGCATTCTGTGATGTGAGTTTGCACAGCGCACGTGTAACTGACGCCTTTATCCCCAGGGTTAGTTTAACCCTCAGGGTTCATTGGCCGTATTCATCAACCATAGGGTTCGTTGGTGAATACTGCCACCGGTTCGTTAATCGATACGGTTGGATTGCGTTCGGTGGCAAACCCTTCCCTATGGTTGATGAATACGGCCAATGAACCCTGAGGGTTAAACTTACCCTGGGGGTAAATTCAATTCTCAAGGTTCGTTGATGAATACGGCCACTGGCATTAGCTATCTTCTTTTGCCTTGATGAGTTAAGTCCGCAGGTCATCATCGCCGTGTTACTAACCTCAACTTCCAATCTAGGCCAAGGTCACAGCTTGCAGTGACAATTAAGTAACTAAACCATAACAAAAACAAAGCAGTTTCCAAACGAATCTTTTGTTTTTATTTGGGAATATAAACGAACATGGATCAAATAGAAAACAGGAAATTAACAAGTTTTTTTGAAATTTTCACTTTATGCGGTGTGACGGACACCGCACGGTAAAATCTGAAAGAGGAATTTTTTCTGAGTATTTTCATGTAACTTCTTGCAGAATTCGCGACATCGTGGCGCGATGTCGCAACGCGACAAAGCTGACGAGGCTGCATTCGCGCGATTGCCTCATGGCTCAGGCTCACCGGTGCAGAATGTTTGCGGGATACAGTAAGATAGCTCGGCGGGGCGGGGTCTTTGTAGTATAACGCCACGCCGCCGTTACATAAACTGCTTGCTTGTATTGCACAACCAGCTACATTGAATCCAACCGAAGTGAGAATGAAGAACAAATAAGAGAAAAGGTAATCTGACCTAAATTCCCAAAGGCATAGACATATATGGCGATGATGACTACCAGGGCAGATGCATCCCATGACTTACAGACGGATATTTCTGCGCGAAAATGTCTGGAAGCCTTCTGGACTTCACATAGACAGACGGATATTCCTACGCGAAAAGGTCTGGAAGCCTTCTGGACTTCACATAGGAACCCATCAATGATCAACAAAGCAAGTGTTTGGCGATCACAGATACCCTGATTCCACAACTACAAAATGCGCTTTCATTTTTTTTCAAGCAAGAAGCTCGGCCGCACCACTATGTCTTTGGAAATTGCTCTCCCACACGATTCTTCTAGGTGAGCAGCATTACGGTAAAACCTAGAAAAAAAACGGTACTCAACGTAGCGCCGTAGAAGCGGCTCAGGCTGGTAGATACCCGAACGCTAGCTGTACTAATAGTTTATCTGTTATGACATAAAATAGGAATCAAGCAATACACTAAGGCGATCAAATATGACAACATGGATCACTGAGTTGCTGGTCGGGCAGGCATCAGCCAACAGCGGAGGGGTAGCTTGGGCTGCCAGTCGGTATCTTCCTAGCTCAAGGCTTGGTACGGGAATTCCCCCTTGTGCTCTCGGTGGTGGCTTATATAGCATACTGCGAAATGCTATCATTCATCGTATCTGTAACAGTTAATCTTATTCTCATAACATACTAATAGCCTTATCTGTGTCTTATATCTTATTCTCATAACATAGCTCTTTCGCGTGCGTTCCTATGCACCTACGCTTACAAAAGGTCCTTTGGTCGAAAAATTTTTTTGGTGCGCTCAGGCTGGTCAAGCTAAGAAAAAAATGAGTGCGTCTTATACTCGTGGAATTAGCGTAGTATATTCATCTCGTTCGGCGAACAACAAGAGCATGGTGTCCTGATTACAAAGGAGGCATAGTGCTTACTCACAGGAGCATACCTTTTCAACTGAAGTGGCCATCCGAGATGAGATGTATGTTGAATCGGATGCTGATATCAAATCTCCACTTCTTACTTGGTGAACGCTTTAAAAAAAGCTGTGGATCCAAAAACAAAACAAACTCCTGCTTAAGATTTGAACATACGACCTGTGCCTCTGTGCTATGAACGACCGAATGGCACTGCACGATTCTATCATGTTGTTATGCTGCGGTGCGAAATACCCATTGCTGTGTTAAGATGTCCAAATGTGTGAATTTTTCGCAGAAGCGTTTCGCAGATAAAGATTCCAGATAAGAAGTCAGCATCCACCACTGACTTCAGCAATACATCTCATCCTGAATGGCCGTCTCGATTTAACACGTTGACGATTGCTTGACACACATGGTGTGTCAAGCAATGACTACCGCGTGGGACCGCTTGACACACCATGTGTGTCAAGGCTTGAGTTTTGGTAAAATGACTACTATTTTGAAACAAACTCATTCCATGAGCTCTCTTTTGCATAGAATCTAGGAATGACTTCTACCTTTCTTGTCAGCCTTTCAGATCTACTGTAGGTGTACTGTAGATGGCAAAATGCGTAATTATAGTTGAAAAAGTGGGCTGGTCCGTAAAAATGCCTTGGTCCCAAAAGGCAGACAACTAAAATTCTGCATGGTCGTCAATGTGTTAAAGAGGCATATATTGCTAGTACCAGTACAGAGCAGGGGAAGGTAATTGAACAACGTGGTTCATCACCATTACGAAACTAGGCAAGATTATGACACGAATACAGCGAAGCGTGTTTACTGAACAGTTAATGCCATTACTATTTGATGTTCCTCCTTTGGCGCACACGCAGGGTTGAGCCAGACTTCGCGGGGAAGCGGCGTACGCCGCGCAGTCTGGCCCAACCCGCAGAATGCTGATCGGGGTGCACTGTCGTGCCTTTTCCATGTTCAGGAATGCAAATTGCAAGCAGCTCACATTGTTTCTTCCAGCTTTTTTCCATCTTTATTCTGACACTGTATGAATTGCACTCTGTACTGCTGCTTTTCATGAATCCGCATCTGTTTGGCGCCACTATACTTTGTACTCGGATCTCTAGTAATTTTTCGAAGATCTTTAGGGTGTGGCTTGTGAGATCCATCAACCTTTCTTCTTCTTGATTGGTAACGCCGTGCTCTGTACCAGTCGCTTGACATGGTCTTGGATTCTACTATTTGATTAGAAGTCGTGTTAGCCACGACACTTCAGCTTCTTCATAAATCTTCCAGAACTCATTAGAGGTGTCATCAGGGCTGGTTGATCGCCGCTCTTCTCTTCATTATCGCAATGACTTCCTCTTACGTGATGGTCGGCTTTGGTCGCTGAACTGGTTTAGCCGTCGCTATGCGTTCATTGCTCGCGGACGTCATCTCGAGAGCGAGATGTGCTTGCCTGAGCATTCTTACATCTTTGATACTGTGGAAGTGTTCTATGTCTTCCGTAGCGTCTGCTCTGCTTCCGGCAATCAGGTAATTCCCCTTACTCCTTCGTGGCTGTGCAGCTTCCTAAACTTCGCTGCATACTTTTCCTTCGCTTCCCCTTCTTCGCACGTTTCGCATCTAGGCACGTCATCATCTTCTGTTCGGATCTTCTACCATATTCTGTAGGCTGCCTCCTTATTCTTTATTACGAGCTGTACTTCGTTGCTCCACCAACAAGTATCCTTGTTAAGCCTTGCTCTCCAGGGTTCCTTGCAAACTAGTAGGCCTCCAGCGTATGGAGTGGACGTTGTCCTTCAGATGCGTCCAGAGTGTTCTGGATCGTCTTCCCTAGAAGAGTAGATACCATTGCCGCTCCGGTATGAGTGTCGTCTTTGAGCTTCCACTTTTCGATACGCGCTCTTTGTCGTTGCTCTGAACGTTTGTCGAACGCAATGCTAGGATCCACTGAATGTGGCCTGAGCTGCAATTCTTCACATATTTGAGCTTGCACTGCCCTACTGTCCTGCTCCCCTAACATACTAATGAGGTGATTGCTTCTAGCTTCTGAAGTATTCGCTATAGCGAACTCGAAAATGATCGCTTTGTCGTTGCGTGAGCCTCTGTGGTTTTTGAACATTTTCCTACATCTCTTCGTTGTTCTCCTACATGACCAGTATACCTGCTACAATTGGAAGCAACTCTTTTGGTGGTACTGATCTGATGTGACCGTCGAATTCTTGCCAGAATATATCTTCTCAAACAAATCGCGACCTGCTTGTGGCGCGTGGGCAGCGATTATTCGAGGATCCGCTTCCCAGTATCCATTCTGACGCTCATGAGTCGATCAGTCAGTTGATCCACGTCGGTTATTTCTAGTACTCTTCAGTTTTGACTATTCCAAAGCCGTTGCTGCTGTTGCTTGCTCCTTTGTATAAAAGTTCAAAGCCATCTTTTATGTCACGCGGCTTCTCACCGGCCATCTGTTCTCCTGAATGAAGGCGATATTCACTCTACGTTATAGAAGAAGGTCTTCGAATTTTTGATGTTGGGCCGTGAGGGAACCTACGTTGATGGTGGCTAGCCGAGGCGTTTCTGGAACTTGAAGCGTTGCCAGTGCCTATGATGAGCTAGCTTCTTTGACCGTCTCCGCTTATCTTTTATCTTTTAGGCAATCTTCGCTTATCGTTCGCATTCGTCGCACTGCTGACTCAAAGAAAGACGGTATTACACCACCGGTCAAGACACTGGTCAAGGTGGACAAAGCGTTTGGAAGGATAAAGTTCAACCTTAGTCTCGTACCACTTTACACGGGTGAGTAACTTTATGAACGATATAGGCCGTCCGCGCTGCGCGCGGAGAGCAACGCTGTTGCGTCCAGTGAAGATAGTTGAGCGCAGAGTAAAACAGGCGGCGAGAGTGCACGGGCAAAGAGGAGTGACGCGCAATACACACCTTGCGCTCTCTCCGCGCCCTGCGCGGACGGCCTTTAGCATGTGCCGCTGGATACCGTACGCGGTGCACTGATCGCTCCGCCCCTTTGTCAATTAACCTAGGGATGTGTTGCAGCTAGGGAATTCTCTGATATTTCGTTCATGCTTCTTAACTCGGGTGCAATTTGGATTCACAGTAAATTTCAAAATTCCAATTAAATCTAAAATCAGCTTTCAGAATCATTTTTCGTTGTGAAATAGTTTGCAAGCACTTTTTCAATCTATTTCAGTTTTTTGTTCATAGTAGACTAGTCCAAATTTAATTCTCTTTATTTACATCTGTTACCATAATGAAATTCCTTGTTGCGCACTCTCAAGTTCAGTTCAAAAAGAAGTCGGCTTATCGAAGAAATATTATTATTATTGCGGAAATGACCAACACGATTATCTCTTATGGGGAATGGAAGAATGGGAGAATCTATTATGGAAGAATTCAAATTTTTTGATTTTATAATTCAAAATTTTTATAGTATAACTTTTCGAATCAACATAAGAAAATTCATTGATTTTGCTTCCAAAAACTGCTATCCTCAACACAAATCAATTGTGACTCAATCGAAAATGCTTGTGAACCTGTCGTAAGATGTGAGGTCACTCAGACAATAATGCCTGAGGTATTCTAGATTGATCAAACTCCAAAGTAGGATATCCAGGAGACACTCGGTCATTCAATCAATTTAGCAAACCCCTTGCATTTCAAGATCAACACATCATTAGCTCATTGATTCAATAAATAGAGGAAAAGAAGATTCTGTTGATAACCTAGCTTCCCCCTGGCTTGAAAACATGTTTATACTTTCTTATCAGGATCTGCTTTTGGTAAACTAAAGAACATGGTCGAAAACCACTGCTAGAGCTGTAATACAGAAAACTCATCTTGAAGACTCCTGCGTGGAGTTATTCTAAGCAGTAAAAATTTATGGAAACTCGACTCTATCCGCTGCACGGTGATAGCACGAACTCTTGCAGGAACTTCAGTTTGAGGAATTCTAGGATATGCCGGAAGGCATACAGACGATTCATAGCACGCAAAGGCTGCGGTCTTACAGACGTGAATTTATGGTCTTCTCGCACTCGCGACTGTAACACAAGGTAGGCATAGAATTCTCTAATATGATCACAAAAAATGTCTCTCCGAAGCACGAACTATCTTGGCCGGACGCAACGGCGCCCGGTTTTTGCGCGTCATGAACCGCGTATAACTGTGTTGAAATAATGATATATATATATATTTATTTATTTTATTAGAATCACAGCATCAAGACATAACAAAAACAAGTAACAATAAGTTGATATGTTCTCATACTCAACCAAATCAGGCAATTCAAGAACACAAACAGCACTCAGAATCCCCCTCCCCCTCCCCCGCTCCTCCCTAAAAATGAATACATGATCTTTTCGCACTCGTGACAGTGATATAAAGTTTGCTTTTGCCGTAGAATTCTTTGAATCACAAAAAAGCTTATTATTGCATTCCTCGAAGAGATAACATGAAACGAGTTATCAATGACGATATCGCTTGATTTCGTTCTCCCATTTTTTCCTCACTTCGAAGTACAACCGCAACGCAACTCTAGCATCAACAATCTGGAAAAAAAGTTCCAGTATTTGAACATGACTGAAATATCTGATCCGTTAAAGGCAGTAGGTCGGCAGAATTAGACCCGTGGCAAAACAAGGTCACAGGGTGGGAGCCCCCATAATGGAACCAATGGGCAACCAACCAAAGTTCGATCTTTCTCTGCCACTTCTAACCCCCGAAATTTCAAAGCGAAAGCAGCGCTCATCTCCTGTCCTCTCCGAACCCGCCCACCCCATGGACGAGTGAACGCGAAGCCCGTCATGGCGAAGACGCAGAGTCGTTGCGGTACCTCATGCTTATAGCATTGCGGCTGGCGCTCTGACCGCGGAAGTCACTCGTCTGGGGTGGGCGGGTTCGGAGAGGACAAGAGATGAGCGCTGCTTTCGCTTTGAGATTTTGGGGGTTAGAAGTGGCAGAGAAAGATCGAACTTTGGCCCATAGGTTCCATTATGGGGCTCCTACTCTGAGACCTTGTTTTGCCACGGGTCTCATTCTGCCGACCCACTGCCTTTAAAGCAAGTGTCCGAGTAAGCCCAATGCTAAAGAGTGTTCTTCCATAACTGTCATTGCTCAGGTGAGCAGCAACACAACAGCCGAGCGAGAGATCCACTTTGGGGAAAAGAAAGCCTCGCATATGACGCTGCCCATCAACTAAGAATCACGAGTGTGGGCAAAGGAGAATGCGGTTCTGCATCTGCATAGAAAATAAGGGCGATATCGCATCGAGAACTGCATGAATATCCAGACCCAAAGCGTCCAAAACTTGTAATGATTCACTGCGACAAAAAGATCTCGGATAGTACACACAATTTGTCCAATTTTGCAATACGCATGGTAGACGAGGCTTAGGCCTTAGGGTTGCAAAAGTCTCAATAGCAATGCAAGAATACTCAGGGAAATGATGGGATACACACTTGAAAAATAAATGCACAAAAAGGCGATCTCCCACAAATAAAATCATTCGAAAAGTAGTTAAAAACTTACAGAATCATGTTCTCCTTGTTGTATGTCAATACCCAAGACAGCTTTGGCCAGCTTTTTTAGAGAAGGAAACTGGAAAAGTGATTGGAAGGGAAGTATTTATAGCATGCAAAAATACTTACACCATGACAATCAGCCATTTTTCGCAGTATCATGCATTTTGCAGTGTCCCGAGTCAACTTAGCATTATGGTGGAAACAAAGTACCTAAAGTGCACATTCTTGAGCGGAAGAACCAATACATCAGAAATTTTCCCACGCAAAAACAAGTAAAAAATTGAAAAGAGCTTGCCCGGAAGTCATTATTGAGGGCGTGTCCGACTACAATACGGTCCTTCAAAATTGCAGCAACTTCCCTTTGTACGACTTCGAAAGGTAGCCCTAAAAACTGTGTCCTACGATTTCTAGTAGCAGATGAACGGGTCTACCTTTGGCGATTTGAGCCGGCCGAATACCACTAACACTAGTGCGAAAGTCAGTGACGCGTTCTCGAGGCTTTACATACTTATCGTAAACGATTTTCCCTTCCTGGAAAGTCGTAGTATGCCCAAAAGAAGCTCCCAGAGAATGTAGACTCAGAGAACATTCTCAGAGCAAAATAAGACACATAGAAAGAATAAATGCATGCCTGATTCACGATTGACACTCGTGCAAGAATATCGTCGCTTCCATCTGTTCCACCACCAACATACTCACAATCAAGTGCAATAATATGTGTAGCTTCTCCCCTGAAAAAAACGACGATACAGGTGACAAAAGGCTCATTCTCACTGTTAACGTTACTTTGTGACTGCGCCATTTCGATAGACGTATTATGACTTGTAAAAAGGGATGTACAACCGGGATGGAAGAAGATTAGTTGAAGACAATGGCTTAGCAAAGACCCTTGTTGCATACAGTAATGCTAGGTAGACCCTCTAATTACATCAGTTTTATGGTACTCCGAAAAATTGCTTAATCCTCGAAGCTAGCTCCCAAGTTCCATCAACCCAGCGCATCTTCGGTGAGTGCGCAACAGGTGGAACTTCAAAGCATGCTTTCAGGAATCAATGCATATAAGGTAGGTCTGCGGTTACATTGATTCAGAGAGTCTAGTATTTAACACCAATGAAATCCGACAGAAATAAGCTTTCCTAGCGACTGCCTTCAAAGAAAAAAAGAAGGGCGACAGCTCTAGTCACCGTTCCTCACCAATCCGAAGAGAGATATGATAAAAGTTAAAAATACAAAATATGATAAAAGTTAAAAATGCAAAATTGGCGAGAAGTGAAAAAAATGACCAACAAGAAAAACACTCACGAAGTAGTATCGTGAACTATAACTGGAATATCCCGCTCAATTTTGTTTTTTGGCTCATTATCGTCTTCTATCTTCTCAAGTGCTTCCTTAAACTTCCTTTTGCGAGACTTTTTGACCTGAAAATCAACAAGACTACAATTTATGAGTGCTAGATGAGCTTATGTGATCTACCGTAGGAGTGACGTCCATCTTCAATTCAGGCTCTTCCTCTTTCGCTGCTAAATCTTCTTTCATTCTCTAACAAAAGAAAATGAGATGCTTGAAGGCAATGCTGAAAAATATCCTACCATTTGCAATGCTTTCCATGCTGGTGACAACGGATCCTTCGGTCCTTCTCTGATCCGCCTCAATTTGGCGTACTTTTCTAATTCTGGACGAAGCATATTCAAAACCTGAATTCGTCCATAAAGGCAGCGATTGTGAAAATTGTTCGAGGCAAATGGTCCATAGCAAGTTTACAGCTGCAAAATCTCGCGGCGTTACAGCGGAATTTTCCGAGCTCAAGGAGAATAATTTTCAACAAGAAATCAAAGACCGTACGATAGAAAAACAGAAACACATGCAAAATGCAGAAAACAGACAATTTTCATGAAATTCGCGTGAAAAAAATTGAGTACACTGCCTACACTTGAAATGACGCTTATTTTGGAATTTTTTGAAAAAGCCCCTCTCGTTTTGTTCTGTTGTTTAGCCCCGGTTTAGCAAAGGTGAACAACTCTAAATTATCGTTTCTTATGTGCTGTTGAGAAGAGGAAGAATCAAATTGAGGTGCTTACCTTTCATCTTTAGAGGTGTTGCGTCGTGAGAGAAAACGAAAGTGAAAAACTTGTTTTTCCTTCGTTTTCGTGAGGGTCACAGTTTTACTCTCCCATATAATGTTTTACTAGGGTGTCTCCTTAAGGAAAAATTAGATTTCTCACGGGAATCGGTGAAAAACAGCTTCTACGCACATTTCTAGATGATCGTGCGAAGACTGCATCCTGCGAGTATCTGCGCTGCTGTTCAAATAACTTCAACTCGCCTCGTCTCCTCGAAATACCCTAGACCAAAACCTAGACCGTACAGGTGTGGTTTCTGCAAAGCTTAAATCTCTGTGTTGTTATATAAGTACATTCCAGACGGCGCCTATACGAGGCTGCTGTTGCTCCTGTGCTCCCAGACAAGCTGAAAGTATGCACCCGGGATCTGGTAGCAAAGCGTGAGAAAGTTGAGGTTGGTTCTTTACCTATATTATAGTTTCCTTTTTTCATACTCAAATTTACTAATTTTCAAATTTTTTATTTTCGGCTTCTTTTCTTTCCTTTTCTTGCTTAGTGTATCGTGGTGGGAGTAATCAAGACACATTTGTGCCAATCGGCCTTTTTTCCTTTCCGTCCGCGCGCAATCGGCATGTGAGAGCTTCGTGCCACGTTCGAGCGTGGGCGATCGCGTGCATGGCATACAAAGTGGTTTGGTTGACCGTTCCACACGCAAGGCCCTCGCGTAGCCGATGCATGGCTGCACGAAAGGGAGTACGTGTTGACATAGACTGAATACTACCCGAGCTTTTCCCAGACATCTGCATCACTTTTTTACTGTTAGTTCGCTAAGACTACCAGATTGCAGAGAACGATTATAATCAGAAAGTGCCCAGGATTAAGCGGGATTTATGATTATCTCGTTATGTCTATGATTATCTCGTTATTTTCTGGTGGTATTTATGTTCACTGCATATTCTGTTTTCGCTCGAAAGTTTTTGCTGAAGCCGCCTTCTTAACACATTGCTCCTACAGTAGTCTATTCATCTGGTAAAGCTTAGTGACTACGTTTTTTATTATCCATGTGCTATCTCTGTGCCTTGTGCAGGCGTCAGACGCTCTAGATACACCAAGACAGCTTGCGCTCATCTGTGCACAGTATATCCTGTTTGAGTTCTACACAGCTTCGATCATACATCCTCGATTTTGTTCTCTGCGTGAGTGGGCATTGATTATTCGTAATTGTAAGCTTGCGTTATGAAAGCATAACTTGGTACTCTGCGTCACCTTGCAAAACCTGTCGGAATCGCGCAAGGTATGATGATGGCTCATATTTTATCTTGATAGGGGTTCAGCTGTTTAAATTTACAGCAAATTAGCATATGAAGAAAATAAGGGGTAGGCGAAGTGTAGGCAGACAATAAAATTTGCTCTCGAGCATGCAGCCGTACATGCTTGATATAAAACTGCAAGGTTTTTTCTTAGTTCAAAAACGAGGCGTAATAAGGTAGCCATACTTCACGCGATTTCATGGTCATGCGATCTGGCAATATGCTAGCATCAAATCCTATATTGGCAGACTACAATTGGAACATGTTATTTCGTAGGCTGGTAGTATATATACCGTATCTTCTGTACATTGTGAATGCGCTCACGATGCGTTATAAACAGTTGGAAGTTTGTGTGGCCAATTAGCATCATGACCAGAATCGCGTGAAGTATGCTCGAGGCCAGAGATGCATAAGCTTCGTCTAGCTCGTATCTTAGCCGTAAGCAGATCTTTGAAGACTGCTGCGTACAAAAGTCTTGATAACGTTGACAGAGTTTTTGTGGAAAGAAAATTGTGATGGGCGAATGGGTTTATGTTGCTGATCTCTGATCGCTTGCAGTATGATCCTGTCGAGTTAGCTTTGTCCACTATTGTCAAGAAATGGATGATTTCTGAAGAATATCGTGTCATGGCTATATGTCAATTCCTTCCCGTTAGTGGTCGAACGCTCTGGCTGTCAAAAAATCAGTATGTCTACCTTCTTTTCTACTTGGAGATTTTTATTTCTGCAGTTGGTTGTTTTTTTGAGGTTGCGATTGAAGGGAGTGGAGTTCCGTACGTATGGCAATAAGATTATGAAAAAAGTGTTCGAAGGTTTGTTTTGCGTTACAATTTGTTGGTTTGTCCGGCTTTTCTAGTAAATACTTTTCTAGGCACTCCATTGTCTGCACTTGAGCCGGTCCTAGTTGGGTTTAATGCTACTCTATATGGCAAAGACATAAATGCTTTGAAGGTTATGCAGTCCGAAACGCTCAAATTGAATTGGATCGTACCCTTAGGTAAGCCTGCTACTATCAAATTGTTGTTTTACGCATTTTCTTTTCTTACAGTCTATGTAGTGGACTCCCGGATTTTGGCGAAAGAGGACGTTGATAAATTCTGCGCTGTGGGATCATTAGAAGATCATCGTGCTGAGACTGTACAAATATTGTCCTCACAACTCCGACAACTTACCACATCATTGGATTCACAATCTCATCAGCTTACCGCCACGCTTGACCAAGTCGCTTCTCGTCCGAAATCATAATCAAATGTACAAAGTATCTGATAGAAATAGTTTACTTGTTATGTTTGTTAGGAAAATGTTTACTTCTAATAAAAAATCTTTGTAACTCTGGTGATGATGCCTAGTTGCAAAGAAGGTCAGGAACGAATTCGGATGGTTTATCGCAAAGCGGGTGCGAAAGCGATGGTAAAAACGTTGTGAATATCAACAGAAAAGTCATTCTATCTCCCAAATTGTCCTGTTACCTACCTTCAATTCTTTAAGACACTTTAGCGGAGACAGTACCTTATCTTTTAAGATTTTAACTATTTTCATGACAAATATTCACCTCATCTCGTGCTAAAAAATCAAAAGAATCAAGGGATGTCGGACTTGAGCCAGCAGAATTTCGATTACCCCAAAATCTCACGACGGATAAGTCCTTCCATCAGAACGTCCGGACTTATCTGACAGTCTTCGAACTTATCTGACAAGTTTCAGGATATGTATTATATAATGGAAAGGAAAAGAACTTCTACGTAGGGCGAACTCATCTGAAGGGAAATATCCGGGTCAAAAAGCGGACTCATCTGTGAGATTTTAAGGTAGATACTTGGGAATGATTGGCTGATGGAGCATTAAGTCAATTCTCCTAGGCAAAGGCTTCCTCAGATGACCAGGATCAATTCACAAATGCGCCTAGTACTCTTCAATCAAGAATTTCCGAATTTCTACAACTTTAGGACATTTCCGGGATTAACATTTAATGAAATCAAATTATAACAGTTCACTTTTTCTCATAAGAGCTAATGTCTCTACAAGGCGCTTTGTTCAATAAAGGGAGGAATAAATAAATTAGGGGAGGTTCGCAAAATCTCATATGTTTTGAAAGACATAACCTATTCTCATGCTGCAATTGAGACTAAAATCATCATAACTTTTGTTTTACGAGGACTCCGCTGAAGCGGAAATCATGCTGACTACGAATTTCGCTGAACTTGCTGATAAGGGAGCATATCCTGTTCGCAAACCTTATCGTGCCAATGCTATCTGTGAAATAAGCCTTTCTGTTGCCACATGGCTCCTGTGGCTACCGCCTTTCTTCTGCTGGCATTCAGCCAATGGTATTTAAATTATATTTAGCATTATTGCTTTAGATCTTATCCAGATTCTCTTAGCATTCCTGCTGCGCTGATCACCAATCTTCCTGGAGCACCAAACGCAAATTTCAAGCAGTATTCGGGCTACTATACGGTAGGGTCCACAAAAAATCACCAACTGCACTATTGGTCAGTTTTGCATCAACAGGACTACTGTAGCCATAATCCATCGACTGTTTTTTGTGCACTATGTTTCATTTCAGGTTTGTTGAATCACAGAATAATCCAGCAACAGACCCGCTATTAGTGTGGTTGACCGGCGGACCAGGATGTTCTGGCCTATCTGCTCTCTTGACCGAGTGGGGACCATTTATGGTAAAGAATTACTTGCCGTCAAGCTTGTTCACTTGTGCAGTTGCACGATTACTCAAATTTGCATCTCCCACAAACATTTGACTGCCAAGTACCATACCAATGCCGACAATTTGCGCACTCAAAATAGTCGTAAAGCGCAGCTTTCACGTTCGCGCCCGCGGCCACTTTTTTACGCGCAGATGTTGCCAACACCGCAAAGGACTACATAAACTGTCAGATCTACTACAGTAAAGTCTTTATGTCATCAAACGAGCTCAATTTGGATTTTTATAAAAAGTTATTGATCCCATCCTTTCAAACTTCGTGTCTTTCTTAGGTCAACGATGATGGGGCAACGCTAAGGACTAATCCCTACTCATGGAACAAAAAGGCTTCTATACTCACACTGGAATCTCCTGCTGGAGTAGGATACTCATTTGCTACTGATAACAAGTTGAAGACTGGAGATGACCAGGTATGACATTGTCAGAGCTATGATAAGAATCACTGCGAGAGCAATTTGCTCAAGGATTTCCGTCAATATCAACATCTGCGTTGTCATTATCAATAGGATATCCTGAATAACTTTTGCAAAGTACTAATAATAAGTTATCGCATGAGTCTATAGCCAAAAGATGAAAAAAAGTTCTAAAATTTTTTGGAAAAGTCTTCACTATATCACATGGTATATCTTATTACATAAAATTCAAGTTTCATTATTTTATAATAAATCGTAAAGAAAGTTCCAAAATTCCAACTATTCTACCACTCAATCAGCTTATTTTTCTTGTAAAGAGATTAGATCATAGAACCAAGCTGGTCTACGTCAAACATTTTGAAGTTTTAGTACGACTTACTTCCAATTTTATGTTTTGAGCATTCTTTATCAAATTGTATCCTTGAAGCCATTAATCTTTTGCTCTGAAAGCACATGATTTCCTTGGTTGGTATATCTTTCAGAATGAATTTCAATTTTGTTTAGAGAGGTCTACAACCTGTCAAAATTTTGCCAAACAAAACCGACTCAGTAGACATCCAAATACGGGGGCAAAATTTGATCCAACTGGATTTTTCGTTTTCATTTTTGAGTCGTTTCATGAGTTTTCAGACTGCTAGCGAAAACTGGGAAGCTTTGGTGGCATTCTTCAACGGGTTTCCACAGTACAAGAATAATGATTTTTACGTCACTGGAGAATCTTACGGAGGTCAGCGTTTGTTTTCTGCCGAGGAGATAATCTAATCTACCTAAAAATGACTTTGAACTAATTTCACCGTAAACGAGGACATTCTTGGATTACGGTGGCGAGATATCCTACAGTATTTTTTTGGAAGATTTGATGAAGGACGTTTTGCAGGTGTCTATGTTCCTATGCTCATGCAGACAATTCTCGACAGGCAAAATCAAACTCATATCAACATCAAGGTAATATTTTCGTTCTTGCAAAATACAAGAAACAGCCAAATACCATCGGTTCCGGCTTCTGTGAATGTAAAAGCCTCAACTAGACTGTTCTCCAAGCAACAGCTCTTGTGAATGAATTGTGGCCAGGAAAGTCAAATCTAGACTTGCCCATTACCGTATTCTTACGAGCAATCCAGCATTTTCGAGTACGGTTGCGAGCGAGAATTCAGAGTTGATGTTTTAGCTGAATTATAAGAGTGCCTTTTGGGCAGTAGCTTGGCAAAAGTCTCCTACTCATCCACATAAGAACAGGCCCAAAATTTGGCCGGGCACTCATCCAGATATCTTTTGCCAAAGTAATTGTTTTTAGGGTTTCGCAATCGGGAATGGTTGCGTATCGGAAAACGACGGTACAGATGCTTTGGTTAACTTTGAGTATGCCCGCGGAATGATTGATGATAGGCGAGTTTACGACTTGCAGTATATAATCCAAAAAATTAATCTAGTAAAATTAGAATAATTTCTTTTTTAGCAAATGGGAGCGGATAAAATCGCAGTGCTGCAATAACGATACCGATGGATGTCCATTCCATTCATTCAACGAACTTAGTTCATGTGGCGTGTTTGTCCAGACCACAACGACTAGTGCTTGGTAAATTTAGTTTTTCATAAACTCTGGGAGTATGAGCAATGTGTTTTAGCTCTTCAAACCCATTATACGTTTTTGAAATCTACTATAAATCAAAATTCTATTACGAAGATCTCTCCAAGCGCAACAAATTATTGCAAATAGCAAACCTTTAACTGTACAACGGAATCCTTTAGAAGTTCAGAATTTTTCAGAAATTCGGTAGTGGCAACATCATATAGCACAAGAATATGGAATCGTTACGCATATCTTTCAGAACAAATCTGGTCGTTCTTATGGACTTAGGGAAGGAAAGTGAAAAGAGGGAACTTCAAATTTTAGTAACTTTTTTGAAGGCGTAAAACCCCGGTTTGAACAAAGCTTGCGAAAACAAAATCTTATATCAGAAACTGGAATGACAGACACTTTAGAAAATGTTTGGCAAAAATGATTACACTTCATCAGCTGTCTAAAAAAGGTAAAACGTGCGTCAATTTTGAGGCAACCTAATATTTTACACTAATACTTTCGGGGTACTTTAATATTTTCCGACTTTCATTTGTCTAAAATTCGGTATTTTGCGGACTGATCAATAGAAAAAACACATACTTTCCGAAAACAAAAATTTGAATCTGCAATTTTTTATTTTATTTTTTTAAAATGGTTTCACTGTTGAATTCGCAACGATTATTCTTACCATAGCACAAAACAAGCATTTTAGGGAAGGCGGTATCAATCCTTATAATATGTATGATAATTGTGTAAACACACCCGGAACTGAAGTATCAACGCGATTCCGTTTGGAGTATAAACTCCGTACAGGAAAGGAGCTGGATGTGTCCCAGGTAAACGAATTCTCTATGAAATTTCTTAGAACTGTCCATCGCTTGCAGCTTTCTACTGTACCATGCATGAACGAGACGGCTGTCACCGTATACCTTAATAGACCAGATGTTCGTAAAGCCATCGGAATACCTACTTCACTAGGACCATGGGCTATCTGCAGGTAAGAGGAAGGATAGGCGAGTAGGAGGGGGAGGGGGATGAAGGGTAGTCGATTTAATTGGTGTTCACTAAATTACTCATTGTTACACAGTTGGCATGTTTCTTTGCAGTGACACCATCAGCAATACTTATAATCGACAGTATGGAGAAATGGCATCACGGGTAAAGAATGCACTGAATCAGGGGCTTAGAGGTAATTTCAAAAAAGCTAACTCTTTTCTTAGTTTTTTCGCACTTTAAGGAATGATCTACAGTGGTGATGTTGACATGGCTTGCAATTTCCTGATGGGACAAAGATTTTCGCGCAAACTGGGCCTCCAAGTGAGTCTTGCTGAATGCAGTTGTCATAACGAGAACTGGTCCCCGCTGATGTTTGATAATCATCATTGCTACACTAAACAGTTTCCACTAGTGTACTTTCAAATATAATAGTACAAGGCTCAAAACCCCCTAATTTTGCAAAAGACCAGTTCTCGCCTACAAATGTCAAAGGATCTGTATCTGCATTCAGGAAGTCCAAAACAAGAAGCATTACATAGTTGATGGACAAGTTGGAGGCTATCACACCGAATATCAAAATCTCCATTTTGTGACAGTTAGGGTGGGTGAAAAGTTCAACATAATACTTTCTGCTCCCAACTGTTTCCTTCCAGGGCGCTGGTCATATGGTCCCCACCGACAAGCCATCCGTCGCATATCACATCTTAGATTCATTCTTGTATAAAAAGAGCTTCTGATGATAAAACTTTGAGCAGTGTCGATTTTGTTTCTTTCTGCGTTTGATGTGCATTGTGTAATTACAATACGCATTGATTTTGTTATTGAAAGTAGCAGGGGGAGGGGGGAGGTAAAAATACGTGCAAAACGTGAGAAACTTAAGCTACGCACACCTGCGCTCCACAGTCACTACCTTGTCAGGACCTGTTCGACCAAAATCTCAACATGGGCAGAGGAACGAACGCCTCAATTAGGCATCGCCCCCGCGGGCTGCTGGTCCTTTCGTACTGCTGTTGATCGTGTGGGGACCAGTAGTCCGTGGAGGCGGTGCCTAATTGTGTTCGTTCCTCCATCCTCTCAACGCGCGTTTTTGCTTTGAAGGAGAGGGAGGTGGGGGAGAGGGGGGGGGGGGGACTCCTGTAGTTCAACTTGCGCAGACTTAATAAAAACTGCGGAACAGAGACAGACAAGATTTATTGGTTGCCACTTTTCAGAGTCATAATCTTTGCTAGGGAAGTTCGGACAATGTGCAATTACGATAGTCGGTAAGAGGTCGAATGCTTTCATCCATGTGGAACTTTGCATAGGTAGGTTATTCATGCAAAACCTAGAAATCTTTGCCATGAATCCTGCTGCGTTATGCAATGAAGCACGGTAATTATACGGTATAGGGTATTCTATATAGGGTATTCAAATCCAAGTATTTTCTACATTTTTTAATGCATGAGCAAGTTACTTGCGCTAGATGATTACGCTGAAGTTATTTTCCTATAATTCGGTGAACATTGCTATAGCCGTAAAACTCAGCAATCGATCAGTAATTTATTTGCTAAGGACTATGATGTAAGATCACTCAAGTTCACGGGAACTTCACGAGGACTTAGAGGGAACTTTCCGAGTGTCTTCCCGAATTTTGCGAGGGCTTGCGGAATGTCTCCGAAAGCCCTCGGAACATATCGCAAATAAATCCTCGGAAAGATCTCTTTTCGCGTTTTCATTCACTACAGTACTAAATGAAGCCCGCGAGAAGTTTGGCAAATTATTTTGCCCTCGGGTTCCCGCGAAATGTCTAGTAGTTCCTTTCCTTTGCATTGTTGCATCAATTCAATCCCAACTCTGCGATCTGAGCTTTGATTTCCACGGCGACATCTATTTCTCAGCAGCTTTGATAAGTTTATCTTCTCTGCCAGCTATCTGTTGAGCAACAGTCGGACGTATCAGTGTTGTAATACATAACAAATGATTTGCTAGCAGCTAGGTGATTAGATACATTGGTTCTGTCGATTTCTCACCTGAGACAATCAAAAAACTTTCTGCTTCGAAGAGAAGTAATACTTTGCTGGAAATTTGTTTGTAAGATCCGCCAGTCATTGGTAGACGGCATCAGGCTCATATCAAATACGGAATACTAGACAAAATTAGCAGTTATTGCTAGCGTCAAGTTTTTCGAGTAAACTATTAGGTTGTAGAAAAAGCCCCCGGCACTCGCAAAATTTTTTTCAAATCGCTGTAACTTCAAGCAGATTGAATTTTTTTAAAGCTACAAACTTCATTGCAAGAACAATTTTGTGCACAACAGATATTTGTCTTGCTTGCTTTTCAGCACCTCAGTGCCGTCCACCAGCTTGGGCAGAAAGAAAAAAGGCCGTCCGAAAAGTGACCTATTTGTGCAAGATTATCTCAGGCAACGATGAAAGCTGGAGAGCTCAAATGCTGTAGTTATATAGAAGTTTGCTGGAGCTGTTATGGGGACCATTCATGTTTTTGCAGGATTACTTGCAAAAAATTTTTTTCTAGAAAGTTTGAAAAATCGACCATTTTCTGCTCCTAAAAATGCACCATTTTTCGAGTAAGTGACTTTGAAGTCTTGTCGTTCTGCATAGGGTGGACCAAATCTTTGATTACCGCGAACATTATTGGGGTAATGCCTTACACATCTTTTGGACCTATCATCAAAGTTTGGCGATCCCCGCAGAAGGGACGCCAGCTGCGAAAAGAGTTGCAGTCAGAGGCAAGTTCGACAACTTGTAATTTCTGAGCGCAAATCGCAAAACTCGAGTGCAGCTGCGGGTCAAAAGTTAACAGTCTTCTCAATCAGATCACCCATGATTTAGACGAATTTCTTTGAAATGCGCAAAAAAATGGCTGTAGGAAGAAAAATTGTGAAATTTTTATGGTTGGAAAGATTTTCCTTTCAGAATGTGCAGATCAAACACGCCTTGGCATTGATAAAAATCAGAAGCAGTATCGAAATCCTTAGGCTTCCCTCTACTGAACAGTATTAAAAACTTGGTGTCAAAGTCGGACCGGGAGCCGAAAAAATGCGTTTGAAAATGAAATTTCCAAAAGTGCCAGGGAACTTTTTTTGCAACCTAATATATAGGCACTTCTTTTACCCATTTCAAAAAAAATTATACTATTAGGGTGATCCAAAAGTAGTGGGGCACCTTGATTTTTTTTAACATTCTTCAAGATTTCTTTCTGATTAGCTAAGAACGCCTGGCATTTTTAACGCCTTTGTATAAAGTGACCTTCGCAGGTTATCTTGACAGCACCTTACAGCACCTCACCGACATTTCTTCGAGTGGCGCTCCAAAGAAGTCAGACAGACTTTTTTGAACGCCATTCGAATTTGGGACGCTGCACCTGATAGTCCCTCGACATATGGCATTTCGAAAGAGCTTTCCAAACTCTTTCTAATGATTACTTGAATATTTAAAAATTGCACATTATTTTATACAAAAAAGGCACTTTATTCGAAAAAGTGCGGTGTTTGGCGCAGATTTTCAGGCTAAAATTCATGTTTTGGGACACATTCTTTTGAAAATGAGAAAAGTCAAAGTAATTTGCATATGTATGGATAGAGCTTAAAAAGCACTATCAAAAAGCAACTGCTAAGTTTGGGCTTATTTGATTACCTTGATGAAAGAATAAGTAATATGTCTCCTGATACCCGATGCTATATCTTCTGTTCTAAAGCCTTGGGACCACCGAGCTATTGTGGATTTGGTGACAGTCCCCTCACCCATTTCTGCGCACGTATCTCTGGTAGGCTCACTTGTTTTACTGCGGCTGCTGCTCAAAGTTAAGAATTACTTGAAGTGGTGAGCTTCAGTTTTAAGCGCTTATAGAATTAACGCCATGTGACAGTGCCCAACTATAGACCTCGATCAGAAGGTTTTGTTATGTACTAACATCTGCCAAAACTTGGACTTCCAATTAGCTTTTCTATTTGAGAAAACTGCATTCATTCTCTAGCTGCCCCATTACTTTTGGATCACCCTGATAGATCCTTCATTTATTATTTATTCAACTTGGTATTCTGGCAAGAAGCTTCGATTTTCTCATCCAGCCTTCCAAAGAAGAGCGGACAAATTCTCAAATATTTGAAAGGCATTTTGAGTACATGTGCTTTTTGTTACTCTACACTCCTTGGCATCTTATTTCTTGGTACCATCAAAAATAGCAAATTAGAAAGAGAGCAATGTAATAAGTGTTCCTTCCTGCTTCATTTGTCCCTTCACTTCTTTCTTCTCTTGTTGCACGGAGATAACATCAAGAAAAAACTTCTTGTTTGCAGAAGCCAGGTTGGAACATTCCCTATTTCACTGCAAGTCTGAATTTTCAGAGATTGATGAACGTAACACTGGAAGAGACATGGCAGAGAATTTGCCTCCAAAAATAGATGCTTCCGCCTTGAGTCTTTGCACTTAAGTGCATCGAATAGTATGAGCAATAAAAACTAGCATGAAATACCAAAATAGCAGGTTAATAAGAAATCATTTGCGTCATAGTTTACTGAACAGTTATAGAGTATGCGCACACCAGTTTTTAGATACGGGATTACAGACAAAAAAGGAAATCCCATCCAAAACAAAAATTCTTGAATTTTTTCAAACTCTCTGGACTACCCTGATCAGTCCACTAAAAGTGAAAATACTTCCCAGAATTTTTTTAACTTTTATTTTCACTGAATGCCAATGGCAGACAAAATTTTAAGGAAAACATTAATCAGAATGAAAATAGAAACATTCAATGCATTTTAGCAAGTTTGAATTAGAAATATTGAAAATATAGTTACCAATGTTGAGAACCTCGAAACACAAAAGTTGCAAAGTTTTCTACAAGAATCTAATCACTTGATTTTATTTCAGAAATGGCAGATGATGATTTATGATTTTAGAACATGAGAGCTCTACGAATAAAGTGGAGTTCAAGTCCGTTTTTCATGCGAAGAACTTTGGGGATTTTTTTTGAGTAAAACAATATAGAGTTGTTTGAATAGTTGCAACGTGCTTCGAATCCAAGATGACAAAAGTTTCTGCTCATATTTATTCAGCTGTAACTGTTTTTTTTTACATTCTCATTGATTAGCAGACAACTGACATGCGGGAACTCCACCAAAATCATTTCCTTAGTCGAACAGAAACCTTTGATCCATATCTCTTGGTTCAAACATCACTCCAGGGCTCGAGGTATCATAGCCACTGACCCCTGACCCAGTATCAATCACGGCGGTTCTGCCGCCGGCGGCTCCGCCTTCTGCTGCGACCGAGTCCATTCGTCGTCGACCAACGGCTCGAGCGCTATGTTGTGGACGGGACTGCTGTCGCTGCTGGTACTCAGCCAAGCTGAAGAAATCAAAGAATTACCTGGTGTCAGCTTTGAGCTGAATTTCAAGCATTATTCGGGATTTTTCAAGGTTTCGGACACGCATTTTCTGCACTACTGGTGGGTATCTATCCCTATTTTTCCTCAAAGCTTTGGATAAACAGAATTCTTAACCTTACAGGTTTGTCGAGTCCCAAAATGATCCCAACACCGATCCATTGATCTTTTGGTTCAATGGTGGTCCAGGATGCTCATCGCTAGATGGACTTCTGAATGAAATGGGTCCCTACACGGCAAATATGGACGGTAAGAGCCTCAACCAGAACCCGTGGTCATGGAACAAGGTAATTTTTGGATTTTTTTCTTTTTTGATGCTGTGAATATAGCGTTCATGCTTTGCCGACAGCATTTGCGCGTAAACAACGGTTTGGGCCATTTTTGCGCGCACATCGTAAGCAAGTCGCAAGAACAGCATTTATTTACCGAATGTTGTCATCACCGCAAAAGCACGATATTGAACGTCCATTCTACTTATATGTCTTTTAGCTCGCTTCTGTTGTCTACATCGAATCTCCAGCTGGAGTAGGATATTCTTACTCTAGCGATGGTAACATCACCACCAATGATGATCAGACATCTCTAGAAAACTATGAAGCTGTCAAGCAATTCTTCACGGTACTTTTGGACAGCTTGAATTTTTGGATTACTGTAGCCAAAGATCGATATTTTAGACATTCCCACAATTCCGAAAGCAAGCTACCTATATCATGGGTGAATCCTATGGTGGAGTATACGTTCCAACTCTGACAGCAAGAATCGTGGATGGTCAGCAGGACTTCCCTATTAATCTCAAGGTGATTACCGTATGCCATCGTCGTGCCAGCGCCGTGCCGGAATCCACGTGGCAGCCTACTTATCAATCGTTTCTGGCACCGCGTCAGCGCGATACTGTTTAAACGCTGCTTAAGCTCATTCGGTTGCCTAGATTTTTTGTAATTTCAGGGTATGGCCCTGGGTAACGGCTATGTCAACGAGAAAATGAACATCGACACGTCGATACGGTATGCCTACGGTCATGGCATTATCGATGAGAAGACCTGGAATACCCTCGAACGTGACTGCTGCAAGAATTGCATCGATACTTGCGACTTCACTCAGGTGAGCTGGAAATTCTTGCTTTCATAACAATGCCGTCATGTGTTACTGAATCACAGCTCGTCACTCATCACAGTTTAGAAAGGGGGGGAGGGGCTGAGAAAAGTGAGAAGAGTTTGAGCAGCTGTTTGACTAACAAAGTGCAATGATTATTGATGGCAGTGGTGATAGGGTAAAAGTTTCAAGAGCTTGCTCAAAATTCAGACTGCGAAAAATCAATCCTAAGATCAGCACAAAAAGTAATATATGTAGCACACACAGGAGTCAAGTACGAATAAATGCGATATACATCAATATCCAGAATTTCTATTTTAACAAAGTAGCAGGAAATCTAATTATGTAGTACCGAATTGCTTCTAATGAAATCACTAAATATAATCTTAGTGTGGGTGGGTATCCCGAAGAAGCAAGATTTTTTTGTACAAACAAGTTCATACCCATTATAGGCCATAGGTCGAATGTTCCAGCAAACCAAATTTTTCCTGTATTTGTCTTCCTTTTCTCACCTGCATAAGTATTTTGCAGATAAAAATTCTATAAAGGAATGTTCAATAAATTTGGAGTATACTGTTATATTTTCAAAGCAATGGCGGTGCGAGAAAATCTTTTCTGGAAATGAGCGAGAAAAGAAAATCTTTGAACGAACGGGTGGCGTTAACCACCATCTTCATATAATTCTTGAGATAATTTTCAAATTTGCTGACTCATATCCCCATATCCCCAATTTTAAGGAAGGTGCGTCGCGGTTGCCACGCCCACAAAAAATCATACCATAATTCAATCATAACGAACTTGAAAGATTTTCAAAACCATTTTGAAAACAGCTACTCGCTCATTTTCAACTCCTGTAGACCTTCTAAAAGATTTCGCTACACATCTCCGGGAGATTTCGCTACACATCTCCGGGAGAAGGAATAGTACCCAACATGCTCTCATCCTGTTTAGTACTTTTCTTCATGAAAATATCCCAAGAGAAACGCTGTTGTAAAGTACAAATCGCTCAAGCCACTCCAAGAAATAATGTCATCAAAAGATATTATCTATTATCAATGACTTGTGACCTTGTGACACGATCGTAAAAGCTGTGAGGTAAATTTTTACAAACGTAAATCTTCACACACCTTCCCACAAAATAAAAATCAAATATGCTTGGTAACATGGATCATTCGGCAGAACAACTCTTTGCAGGTAACCGGACACTGTGCCACAATGGTCGAAGACATCTTCCAATTCCTCTGGGCTGGAGGTTTGAATCCATATGACCTTTACAGAGACTGTGACCCCAACCCATCTGTCAATGGCGAACGCATGGTCCAGATGCTCAAGGGTACTGTCATCAATAAATCAGGGTTTTCTGAATGATTGAGTTCCTTTTTTAGGCGTTGCTGCCGGTTACGATTATGTAGAGAAGGCAAAGAAGGAAAAGGATTTGATGAGCTTCTTGAGGGTAAGGATACTATCACGAGCTTTCATACAACTGAAAGGCAGTGCCCGGAAACTTCCAATTACGTGATTTTCTTGTAAGGAAACTGATTAGGGAGATTCATTTAGAAAGAAGCAACCAATATGACTTATTATGCCGAAAAATCAAAACCTAAGTTCTCGCCCAGTACCGTACTCCATGTCACTGATTGATGCGAGTACTGTATCGGGCATGGGTTTGAGGAGGAATTTCTTGGTCAAGAATGCACCACATAAGGTGGCAGTTGAGCGGATAAATCTGACCTTATCAGCAATTCTTTTTCAAAAAACTGAATTTAGAAAGTATCGAAATTTTCTTTTAGTCCCACGAGCCTCTCTATGGAGATGCTCCATGCCTCAATGACACCGATGTCATCGTCTACATGAATGATCAAAAAGTGCGAGATGCCCTGAACATTCCATCGAACCTTCCCAAATGGGACATCTGCAGGTAAGCTGGGGAAATTTGATCTAAGGATACCATCGTAATTCTTACCATTCTAGTAATGAAGTCACTTCGACGTACCAGAAACAATACGGAGACATGGCCCCATTCATCAAGAAGATCGTCAAGGCTAACGTACGAGTTCTCCTCTACTATGGTGATACCGATATGGCTTGCAATTTCATGATGGGACAGCAATTCTCAGATCAACTTGGTCTTAAGGTGGGTCAAATAAGTAAAGAAAATATCTGGTTCACACCAACAACGTACAATTTTTAGCGAACTCTTGGCAAAACTCCGTGGAAATTCGATCGTCAAATTGCTGGATTCAAAACTATGTTCAAGGGGCTTACATTCATAACAGGTAGGTCAAAAAATTATAGAAATTTTAGGGCTCAAGCAGGATCAAATTATTCATTTGTAAGCGAATAACTCAAGTCCAAACTCGCGACCAATACCGTACCTAATCAGGGTACTGGGCGAGAGTTCAGAACTAAAAATTTTGAACGCGATTTAAGTATAAGAGCTGAAGCTCTAGCATTCTTCTGCAAATATTTTTTTCTTACGAAAAAGCGTTGAAGATCTAAAAAATGAATACTCGGTGTGAAAAATTTCCAAAACGGTTTTTTTTCAGTCCGAGGAGCCGGTCATATGGCACCACAATGGCGAGCACCACAAATGTACTACGTTATACAGCAGTTCCTTCTTAACCATCCTATTTAAGAATATTACAATAAATATGTTACATACACATGTTTGCAGAACATATTAATGTGCAATTCATCTTAAAATGACAAATAAAAATATATTTGTGAAATATGAGCATTTGCCTTTGCTGCAAAACGCAAAAAAACTCGACTCCTCGCAAATTGCAAAAAGGTATCATTTTATTGATGTCAAATATATGAAAGTGCAATTGAGATTTTTTCAGCACTTGCCTTCTTGCATTTTATCTGATAAAAATATAAAAAATGCCATTATTAGCCCAAAAGTGCAACATTTGTTTCTGGTGCCTAGAACTAGCAATAACGGTGCTCCTCCAGAGATTTCCGTCGGGGAGGGAGGGGGGGGGGGAGCACAAGGTGGCATTAGCCACTTTGAAATTCGGAGATGCTTTTGAATTCTCGAGATCAGAGCTTCTCAGAAGAATTACAAGTACATGCAAGTCATTATGTTTTCATAACTCATGTAAGTAGCTTTCAAAAATTTGCGATCCATTCTCGATGGGGTTGCCTCTGCTTGTAAGAGGGGTTTGAGGTCAGTCCTCACAGATGGTGCAAATTTACTACTTCTGAGTGCGCTACTTTGAGATTTACTGAAAACTACTCAAGGCAAGGGAGACGAAGGGCGAAGGAGCGAGAGGAAGAATGGTGAGCAAACCTTTTATCTCCGCTTTGAAATCAATATCTATCGCTTTCAACAAACTGGAAACCAAGGTACCCTTCGATTTAACTGGCTTGGCTGCTGGAAGGCGGGGCTTCGTGACCTAATTACGGCTAGGTGGTAATCGGAGAGCACGCGCGCGGGAGAGACGCAGATTGCGCGGGTGGCCTTAATTAGGTCACAGAGCCCCGCCTTCCAGTCGCCAAGCCGGTTGAATCAAAGGTTACAAAAGTACTAGCGAATACCACGCAGCCTATGGGTGGTCCGAGTGGGTCTATAGAGATATCCAAAGTTGTCCTCTGCTATATTCAGGCTATGCTACGTTCGGTATGTATTGTTTTCATAAGAAAGTAAAACGAAAACTGGGTGTGTCGGTCTCGAGACTACTGAAAGTGCGGGGATAACAAGCTTAGGTCAATAATTTTGGCAATTCATTAGATAATAGGGGCGCCTCCAAGGAGTTTTTAGCATGCTGACAAACGGATGATAAAACAGAATAATAAAAATCTTTCTTATCGATTATTTTTATAACTCTTTAAACATATGCATCCGCACATTGCAAAAAGGTTCGCAGTGATACTAACCTCGGTTTTACAGAAACTCTTCACAGAAAAAATCTGCGGAAAAACCTGAAACTCTTACTACATTTGTCATCTCCAAGGTGGCAGGATATGATAGTTTTGACGGCTCTCTTTATATTTTAGCCTCTAAGGCTTTAGGAAATTTTTTCGATTTCTTCGAAATAAAATGTATGGGTCCCACTCGCTATATAAAATACCGCTCGTAATTTGTAAAAAAAAATTGGCGGCGGCCGCTCAATTCAGGCGGCGACCACCGAAATTAGAGCACCGAAGTTAAAGGCAGTGTCTCACCAAAATTTGGTTGCCGAGATTTTTGCTTTTTGCAAGCCTGTCAGACCCTGTCTAGCACTGTATGGGCTTACAATCGCACGAAGTTCCCAAAAACCCCGCTTTTTGGAGGCCCCGAGGAAGCAACGTGGACGAGTTGTACCTTCCAAATTCAGGCTCAGCCACAGTGGCAGCAACAGAGGGGAGGTGGATGCCAAGTGGAGGGACATGTTCAAACGCGTAAGGGGGGAGACCGAAGGAGTCGTCCGCGCGTACCAACTCTCTCTCCGCGTACCACTTTGAGCGAATTTTTGTCAGCCTGGAGGGGGTCAAATTGAGTGAAACTTGTTGCAATGGCCTACCTAGAGGTCCCTATAACAGAATATATGAAGATCCGCGCGACCTCAACTTTGGTGAGACACTGCTTTTAAGCGACAAAGTTAGGTAGCGCGAGCGTAAATTCAGGCGGCCGCCACCTAACTTCTCCAGAATTTGTCAAAGTACCCTTATCTCGGTTCAAAGTTCATGAATTCTATAACTAAGCGTACCATTCGATTCAGCTCGGCGAGGCGCATCTTCCAGTACATAGACGTGTCATCAAATTAGCTTTTTGTTTGGAGGATTACTCAGTGGGCTGATAACATTTACATTCATCTGCTGTTGGAGGCACTTTGTGTGGATAGTGTAGGGACAGTAAAAAGTGACTTCGCGCGGATCCGTTTTCGCTCAGAGTGGCTATTTGTTGCGTTGACTGCAATAATTATCAGGGTCGGTAGTAGATCTGTGGAAACTCATAGTTATAACTCAGAGTTAACTCTGAAGGTGAGTTATTTCTGAGGTAACACACCCTTTTGACCCCCTTAACAGGTGCTTGAACAGACCAAATTTAGAAAGCGATGATATGGCAGGATACTCCGTAATCAGTAGTTTATTCCTAGTAGCGCAACATTGTCCAAATCGTTCTGCACGAGACAGCGCCACCAAACACGCAGTTGAGCTCTGAGATAACTCTGAGTTTGGTGCGATTTCCATTCTATCATGGAACTCAAAGATAGCTCTGGGTTTGGTCAAAGAAAGAGAAATAGTCACAAAAGAAGACGGGCAGTTAAAATGTCCTCCGTAGTACATTTTGCTTGTAGTTTCAGCTGGCATGATGGAGGTATTGTGGTGCGGTGTGATTTATGAAATTTTGAAATTTTGTAAAATTCTGGCCCGGGGGGTTGTTCGGTGAGCTGATCACGAATATGGTACTCATTTTTCACCATGGAATCATATAGCAGCCTACAGTTGGTTTACGTAGACAGGAGAAAAACAAAATTTGGCCAAAACCTAGGCCGGTGGGGTTATTCGAGGCGGTGATCACGAATATGGCATGCAGTTTATACTGCGGTGACATTTGGCAAGGTTACGGTAGGTTTACGGTAAATGGAGGAAAATCACGAAACTGATCGAAATTGGTACACCGAAATTATTCGGGCGCAAGTCACAAATATGGTGTGCATTTCTGGCTGCGGATCCATATAGCGGAGTTACGGTAGCTATAAGGTAGATTGAGAAAACCACAAAACCGGTCGCAACTTCGACCGTTGGGGTTATTCGGGGTGCTGATAGCGATTACGGTACGTATATGTAAGTGGGCTAAATCATAGAATAAGGGCAAGGAGGGGGGTTAATCTGTGCGCAGACCCTAAATAGTCCATTCTTACCACTACATATGCCATCCGCTCTCTCTATTGTTTGAAGCTTTCAACTGCGCAAAAGAACAATGCGTGCGATAAACCACCATTTCTCGACAGAAATTAACATGAGTGAGGCTTTGATATAACTTTTGACTTGCTCATGTTAATATGAGTACATTATAGAAAAACTTCAAATTTGAAGGGTGTCATGGTCTAACCAGCCCGGCACAGATGGGGGGCCAAACTGGACTAACTTTTTGAAGTTAAAAGCAACGGGGATATCGTTTTTATAAAGTGTGTTCTCATCAAGTTTGAGAACTTTAGACCGCTGAGCCCAATTTTTGAGCTGAAAAGTTCTCCGAATCTGAGTGAGATGATGGTAGATTTTGAAGCATACCAAGTAATGTTTTTTCTGCCGCGTTCGCAAGCCGTTACTGGACGTCTAGATGACACAACCTTTCCATAAGCGTACAGATCAGCCGATTACTTTTGGACAAGCTAACGATTTGTGCAATTTTTGCGGCCGTTGGGCGTTCAAGCGAATTTGCTCCGTAAAATCTCCTTTTTGGAGATTGATGAATGCCGGTTGCATTGCATATTTCAAGGCTTAGGGGTGCATCTGTAGCCCAGATACTGGAGAGTGACAAGTTTTTCAAAGAAGCAGAAAGCATCAAGCAGGAAGTGGCTGCAAGTTTTGACCAACCCCGATTTTGCGCTTTTCGCCAACTTCCCCGGAGCTCACTTCAGTGTGCTTGAAACTGCATGGTTTTTTGATACAGTGTTAAGCGGTTTGATTTGCGCGTAATATCGAAATTTGGATTCGTTCTGTGCAAAACAGAGTAGGATATAGCAGAGTTTCGGAGTGGCTGCAAACTTTTGACGAGCACTGTATATTTACTACATAAGTAACAGTGCAATAAAATCAACGTCTTTAGCAGCTGAACAATTCGCTGAAGCGGTTTCCCACTTCGGCGTAGAAGAAGAAGAAGAAGAAGAAGAAGAAGAGGAATAAAGAGTTGGAAGTAAAGAGTGCCTTTTGTACATGAATTATCATACGCTTATATCCACTCACTTATACGCTTTTATTACCACTTATATCCTCGCGTGTATACACAATCTTTTTTACTTAATATGATATGTCGTCTGTTCATAGCCAATAAACGATAAAATAAGGATCGAAAATCCAAAGAAAATGTTAGCCGGAAATGAAAACCAAGCTATTTTATATCTTAATCGGCTGTTACTCTTGCAAGTGAAGCGTACATTTTGAAATTTGCATGATAAATATGATATTATTTTGTTGAGTCCCACTACTAAGTCCATTTAGAGATGATCTTTGTGAACGGTATAGTATACACATGTTGTTCATATGATACACATATGTTACTGCCACATATCATATGTGTGATGATCTGACTGTTTTTTTATATCGATGTTTTGGATTATTTTTGTATGTTGCGTCGTTTTCTGTTGTATCGTTGTTTTCTTCATTGGATGTGTTCATTTCTTTTGTGCATTGCTTTGATCGATACCCCAGTTGACTAGCCGTTGATCTACTGCGCGGGTTATGCTATTTCGCAACCTCTATCGATCTCTCTAGAGGCTATAAAAGGCGGCCGCTCTGGCCGCTCATCAGTTCATCCTATTCTGCAGTTTTTTTTTTGTTTGTGCTTTGTTGATAAAGTTTGGTTCCGACGTCTCCACTCTTCCCCCTGACTATCTGGCCCACGCTCCCCTGAGGTGAGCGTGATACATATGCGCATAGACAGATTAAAATTTTTGTGTGTGTTCAAACTGTTTGAAGTGTTCAAACTTTACAAAAAGAACTGTAAAGATTAGAGA